AAAGACCTATACTGGAACCGTGAATTCAATTTCTCCGGTTAAAAAGTTGGTGTGGCTCATGATATTTCTACATACCGTTGGAGTTATAAAAGGTAATATGTAATTGTTATTTTATATTTAATCTTAGCTAGATTTAACCGATAATATTAAAGATAAACATCTTTTAAGCAATAAACTTTATAAATACATGTCTGTTTAAAATAACGATATTTAACCAAATATATTGATGAATCTAATTACCAAACTTCTAATTACCAGTGGTTACCGTTCGTTTTTAAGTCGAATGGGAATTAGAAGAAACTAACGGTTATGAGTTTATATTAATATTAAGATTTGATCTAGATTTAACTAGACGAATGTATATAAAATAATAGCAGCGTTTTACCTGAAATAAAACGCTTATTAAAATACTAACCTAACTGGAAGCTTTATATTGAGAGAGCATTTCCGTTTCCGTCGTCAAAGTACCAGTTGACGTACTTTTATTCACCTTAAAACCGGTAGTAGGTGGCGCCACCTGGCGGTCGCGCGCCCTTTGAGGTTTTCTTGTAAAATCGAGCGCCATTTTAAAATCATTGGCTTTATAACCACCAGGCAGAAATTAAAGTGAAAGCTTCCAGTTAGGTGAGTATTTTAATGAGCGTTTTATTTCAGGTAAAACGCTGCTATTACACAACTTGACCGTAACTGGAAGCTTTATATTGAGAGTCTGTTTGTTTTCGCCTGGTGGCGCAACCTACTGTAAATTACGGCTTATTTAAAATGAAAACGCCAATGTGAATAGAATAGAAGTAATTTTAATCAAAAATCAGAATTTACCATAGTATATAAGTATTAATAGATATAATAATCTACATTCTACATGAAAGAGATTCTACATTTTTAATTTATTGGTGAAAATAATTGTGTAACATTTCTGGATTCAATGTTTCTTACTATGTACTTCACGTTTGTAAAATTTATGAAATGTGTTAGCTGATCGCCAATTGCCTCTAGCTAGGATATCATCGACAGAAGCATTATCCAAACAACTCTCAGAGGCGACTGCAGACTAAACACTTCCCGGTGTAGATGTGATACCAGCATCTCGGTGTATAGTTTTTACCCAGCCTCCTATTACAGTGCGTGAGGCAGTTCTAGCCATTCCTCTTACTGTAATAAAAAGGTTAAATGATTTTGCAGTATCGCGTCTTTCATTTAATACTGCAATAGTTTTATTTATCCAAAAAACCCGATTCAGATTACAGTTACGAGGATTCAAAAGAAACCTCCAACTAGACTGCCTATAGTTATTACTACCTGTTTTTGAACCGAATTCAGGAATTAATGTAATACTGTCATTACTTTTATGAGGTGATCGGGATCAATTCTTAGGCATGTATTCGTCGCCCAGAGCATAATAGTAACAAAATAGTCGTATGACGCGATATTTGGAATCTATTTATATATATATATATATATATATATATATATATATATATGTCGGAGACGGTCATCAATACGGTCGCTAAACGAAGCGCGGCACGACGCCTGAGTGATGGCAGCACCTTCGGTATTATCGCCAACACTCGACGAGCTTCGTGCTAAGACGGAGCCTAGCTAAGGGAGGGGTGCTAAGAGGGCTGGACACTTGCCTTCGAGCCGAGCCAAGCTTAGGACCGCTCCACTAGGAACTGTCTTGCGTTCCGTATTGTCTATACGTGGTAATAGTGAAGTGAAGTGCTTGCTATATGGTTGTGTAGTGAAGTGCTGTGTAACTATGTACAAAGTGATTATTGTTAATTTGAAATACAACTGTGATTGCATCGACTTTTATTTGAACCAACACTTCCCATATAACGCCCACTGTATAATTCATGATAAAATAATGGAAAATAATAGAGAAAATTAATGCTGCTTCGATATCAGAAGTGGGATCAGTGTTGGTTCAATTGCAAAAAGAACTAACTCTGAGTGAACAATAACGTACAATGTTTGAACAACAAAATGTCATTATGTGATCTCTTATCGAGGCCTTGCAAATGCCTCAGATGAAGAAGAACGTCAAGTTACGCGAGTTTGACCCTGACAATATGGATACGGACGCAAGATCTTGATTTGCGACTGTAGATTTGTGTTTTTCCGAATACCCTCCATACGGCGGCTAGCTTATTTTAACAGTCAGTAAGGAATTAAAAGGATAAGGGTCGACGTGGCTATCACAATTTGTATACCAGAGAATAACATAGGAAGAGTTCAAGGTGATTTTCAAGGCGAGATTTATTTCCACCGAGACATTGGCTGGTACGTTAATTAATTGTAACAGTGACAAACCAAATGAAAAAAGAAACTCGTTACGTACGCAAATCGCCTGATGACGTCACTGACTAATCGTTGGAAAGACGCTAGCAAGAATCAGATAGCAATTGCGACTGTCCTTGCTCACTTATGTCAGTTTAATTCGAAATTACAACGAGTGGCCTTTACTACGAAAATTGCTTCGCGAGATCGACTGCAGCAGGGATTGCACGCATTCTCACATTCGAAACGCAAAAAAAGTGAGTCTTAAGCGGTCAGAGTGTAGAAGCAAGGAAAATGACAGTGTGGAACGACCTTCGATGACAGCAACGGTATTGCAGCCTGCAGTGAAGTCTCTGGTGTGCTTCAAATGTGGCAAGCCTGGTCACATCACGCTCCGGTGCATAAGTAGTGCCAGTCAAGTGGACGGCAGCAATATGGGTGCAACACGAACGGAACGACGCGTGGATGTATGTGTTGTACAACCATCTTCGAATGCTCAATGGCATAGAGGTAATCTGTATTGCTTTTGTTATAATCATGGTGCTGAATATTCGTTAGTAAGATAACATTTAGCAGTCAAATTGTGTGGTTAACGATTTTGTCCTTGCAATTTCTAGTATTGATCAAAACAGAATATTCCGCACAGAGTAAAATTTGTTTTGTAACGATTAACGGTCATTCTCTTGAATTCTTTTGAAATATTATGTTTTGCCTAATTATTAGTTACAAAATGGTATCATGATAGAACATGAGATATTGAAAGGTTTTTTTTATTAACATGACGGCTATAAATTCTTTACACAAAAATTCTAGTAGGTCATGTACCAATAGAGGTTGATGTAAATAATGATCATCATGCCAAGCAAATGTTTTAATGAAGTCGATGGAAACCGATGTAAGCATTCTGACGGCCGTAGTAGTGTCGACCGTACTAGTAACTATTACGTAGTCATAGCCTGGTAAAAGTCGGTCTTTTGAGGAAGCTCAAACTATATAGACTGTGGGTGTGTGATGTGCGTTTAGTTCTGGCGGAGGTCGGGGTCTGTTATGACCATAGTGTGTAGTCATCGAGAGGATGATACACACGGTGATCCCGTAGTGGATGCACCTGGATTGTGGAGCAATTGTGATTGCTGGTTGGCTTGTAAAGCCTTGGCCTAAGAGTGGTTTACAAAGGTGCTAGTAAATTTGAAAATTAGTTTGATTGAAGTGTTGAATGATGTTGGTACATGGCTCTAGATGACTGACGTTATTAGTTAGATTAGAGATAAATAGTGACTTGGAGTTTAAAAAAAAACAAAGGTGTTAGCGTTAAAGCTTTTCGTTAGAATAAAGATGATTCAGATTCAAAGTTAAGTTTTATCTGGTCAGGATTGACCGAGTCGAGCAAGTATTTTCGTTGATTATTTGGTTGCAGGCTAACACACGGCTAACACACGAGGGCGTGTGCACGCAGGATGGCCGTGTCGGAGACGGTCATCAATACGGTCGCTAAACGAAGCGCGGCACGACGCCTGAGTGATGGCAGCACCTTCGGTATTATCGCCAACACTCGGCGAGCTTCGTGCTAAGACGGAGCCTAGCTAAGGGAGGGGTGCTAAGAGGGCTGGACACTTGCCTTCGAGCCGAGCCAAGCTTAGGACCGCTCCACTAGGAACTGTCTTGCGTTCCGTATTGTCTATACGTGGTAATAGTGAAGTGAAGTGCTTGCTATATGGTTGTGTAGTGAAGTGCTGTGTAACTATGTACAAAGTGATTATTGTTAATTTGAAATACAACTGTGATTGCATCGACTTTTATTTGAACCAACACTTCCCATATAACGCCCACTGTATAATTCATGATAAAATAATGGAAAATAATAGAGAAAATTAATGCTGCTTCGATATATATATATATTATATATATATATATATATATATATATATATATATATATATATAAGCGAAGCGATAATATATATAATAATAATAATAATAATAATAAGCCTTTATTCGCCAAGATAACAACACCTAGGAAAAGTTTTATATAATTTTTAAGTATTACAGTTAAATAAAATTACATTACATACGAAATTACAAATACATAGAATAATACTTATGAATCATAGCTATTATTGACATAATAAAATGAAAATGTTTTTTTTTTTTTTACAAAACATTCCTTTTATAAAAACTATTAATTGTTTTTTTTTTCTGTTTTTTTTTATTATTATTTTTTAATTCGTTTTTTTTTTATTATTATTATATTTTTTTTTTTTTTATATATCTATATAAGCATATCATATATTTTTTTTCTTATTTTTTTTTTTTTTTTATATATAGGGATGTATTTGTGATTAATATTTATATATTAGTATTATTATCTATCTTGGGAACCCATTTTCGGGTATAGGCCTCCTCCATCCGCTTTATTTCTGACAAGCCAAGTATATCCCATTTTATGTTTTGAAGAGCATATTCAAGTTCATTTTTTCTACCTTCAGCATATATATAGCGATATTTATTTAAATCTACAGTGTATTTTCCTAAAAATTATTCTAGTTCCATGGAATACTGAACGCGTCGTGAAATAAAGCTTGATGGTCTCTCAAATCTAGGGGTACATAATTGTAAACTACATGAGCAGTTTTTGAGGCAAATAAGTCTATTACCGGGATTCCCCACTTAAGGTATTATATGACTTTTTATATGACTTTTTTTATGGTATTATATGACTTATTGGATTTCGTACCTCCTTCTTTCCGTAACTGAGCGACTGCTGCCTTGTTGTCGCATTGTATTAGGACTGAGCTGCCCTGCAAGGAATGAGCCTGATTCTGAAGAGCATGTAGTATGGCTAACAGCTCTTTCTGATTGGAATGTAGATGTTTTTCCTCTTAAGAACAGTTGCCCCAGAAAGCTTGATTGTTTATTTGTGCTCCCCATGCCACGTCTGATGCATCGGTTACTAGAAAGTTCACTAGAGGGGGGTAATGTAATGGTGTTGTTAACTGGCAATTCTGAATCCACCAGCTCAGTTCGCTGCACACACTCTGTGGTAGAGGGTAGGCTTTGGGTGATTGTTTTGGTATAGTATTTAGAAACATTAACATTTGTCGATGTTTGAGTCGGCCCCGTGGAACTACAAAACTGGCTAAATTTAGGAGCCCTACTATTCGTTGTAATTCTTTTAGTGTCGTTTTCCCTAGCCCTAGCATCAGATTCAGTTCTTTTTTTATCATGTTTATTTTTTCGTTTGGCAAAGCTTTTAGATTGATCCAGGGTTTCCAAATTATTCCTAAGTAATTTATACTCTTCTGAGGGACTAGTATTGATTTTTCCGCGTTTATGTGCCATCCTAATTTTTGTATTTATTGTGAGTTAGACATGATTTAAAAGCATTTGAGCGTTTTGATGTACTATTAGATAATCGTCCAAATATACTACTCCTCTGACATGCCATCATTCTCTCATTGTTTGAGCTATTCAATTCGTTAAAATCGAAAATGTTTTTGGAGCTGTGCTCAGGCCGAATGGGAGGCAAGTCGTCTCCAATAATTCATGATAGTAAATGAGGCGTAGATAACGCCTTTGAGATTCTGCTATTTTTAGATGAAAGTATGCTTGAGATAAATCTATTTTGCACATCCAGTCCCGCGGTTGAAGAAAATTTGGTATTTTGTGCATGTTTATCAAGTGAAACATTACCAATACATATTCGTTGAGTGCTTTGAGATTGAAGATGGGTCGGGTTGTTCCGTTGGCTTTGGGTACCAGAAAGAGATTTGAAACGAAACTGGGTGTGTATTGTACTGCCACCAGAATGCCCTGAGATTTCATTTTTTGCACTATTACAGACATTTCCACTGAGACCGGAGTTTAAAATGGTCCTTTCAATAGGTTTGGATAAATAAGGGGTGGTTTTTGAAAAAAGGGTATGCGATAACCTTGAATCAGTTTTAAAAATACTTTTGGTGCTCCCATTTCCAACCATTCCTCGTAATAAATCCCTAACTGACCTACTTGAAATTGTTTCATGTCATTGTTTTTTATTGTAATTATATCCGCCTCTGGTAATTCCTCGAGTATTTCCACGGCCTCTAATACTTCCACGATCGGGCCGCGAGCTTTTGAAATGACCCTCTGTATTGGTTGACATTCATAGGGTATTGAGGAAGCTGATTATTATAACATATTTCACGCCGTGAGGGTGGATTGTTACAACCATGCAAGTGCATAGTAGTTTGATTATTTTGTTCATAGCAATTACATTGAGCTCCACGCGATGGAACTATAGATTTTCGTATATTCTGCCCCCGCGAGGGGCGGTGGTTCGTATGGGTAACCCCTTTTTTTTTAACGTTGGGAAATGCATTTACGCACGAGGTGTAGGACTCACCGGCGTAATAAAGCCAGTACTACCCACTAAAACCCAACAAAACCTTCCCCCGTCTTAATGGGGCGTCGCAGGATCGCTTACGCATTCAACTACGACGCCTGACGGCAGGTTCGCCGAAGCAGACCACCACAACCATGGGGTTGCTCCAAGGTCCACTCTGCTATCAGAGAAGTACCAGGAGCAACCCACATGGTACACCGCCCACCGAGGAGGGCTACCTCCCACCGCCCACCGAAGTGGGCCACCTCCCTGTGCGTTTCTTGGCTTCGCGCCCGGTTGGGTTGCTGGGCACTACTGAGCCCCCCCACCACGACAAGGTGAACGCACGTGGGGGGGGGGGGGTATGGGTAACCCCTGCTTGCGAAGGTACACTATTTTTTGGAGGTCAAAAAACTTTGCGGACTCCACCAGATTTTTCTAAGGCTAAAGAAAATGCTTCGGAATCAAATAAATGCATCGTTGATGGTGGGATTTTATTCAGAGATGTTTTTACTAAAGGGTCGCGAACCTGGCCTGTAATTGTTTCACGACGCATCTCGATACTTTCAGCCCTATGGCCACATACTAATTGTAATAGGTCGGATGAAATTTTAAACAAGTCCACTTTTAAAAAATAATTCATCCACCTTGTCACCTAAATTATCAACATTAATCGAATTAGTATTCTTTGCCCAATAGATAAGATTTTGAATAACTTCCTGTAGTGATTTTTATTGTTTTAGTATGCAATAATTATGTTATAGCAGCATAAGCTTTATCGCTCGCAGCTCGCATAGCTCTTCTTGGTCTTTATAAATTGACACACTATCTTTCCATGTTTTATCATTATTATTCAAAGAAACAATTTGTCTTAGGTCACCCATTTCCTTCAATAGCTTATCTATCCGAGGGTCTGTAAGTTTAGCTCGCTTGCTTTTCTTATACTTACGCCGTCAGTACTTTCGCCTGTCATCCGACGTCGAGGATGAACTCGAAGAGCTGCTACTAGTACTACTAACAGAGCTTTGCTTTCGTTTGCGTGCCTCTCCACTAGGACCCGATACGGCTTGTGCCTCGAAATTACTAGGTTCCTCATTCATTTCTAGAAATCAAAGATCATGTTAAATAAAATGTAACAACCTGTACGCCAAAAAACTGGTAAAAAGGTTTCCTTAGACGCCTTTTTAAAACATGAATTAAATCGTCACTTAAAAATATACTATAATAAGGTATGCAAATAATTCATTATCAACGGTATAAACCGAAACAAAAACTATGTATGTTAAATTTACTCACTTTTTATTTCTAAATTGAATTTATTGTTTATTCCAACGATTTGGAATATAACGTTAACATTTAATAATTATTTTACAATTTTTTGCAAGACTTTAGTAGTGCTTAATGTGAATATGTTGCTTCGACGAAAACTTAAACGCCAATGATTTTAAAATGGCGCTAGATTTTACAAGAAAACCTCAAAGGGCGCGCGACCGCCAGGTGGCGCCACGTACTGCCGGTTTTAAGGTGAATAAAAGTACGTCAACTGGTACTTTAACGACGGAAACGGAAATGCTCTCTCAATATAAAGCTTCCAGTTACGGTTAAGTTGTTTAATGATACTTGTAATTAATATTAATTAGTGTAGTTTAGAAAACCAAATTAGTAAGCTTTTATTTTTGTCCGTTTGCCTGTCATATTGTATTTTAAGATATATTTAATGATATTTTTATTATTTTTAGACTACGATGCCCCGGAAAAGAAAAACTAAGGAAGAAGTACGAGAAAAGACTAAAATAGCACGCAGAAAAAGATATGAACATATAAAATCAAACGCTGTCTTATATGCTCTAGAAAAAGAAAAGAAACGTCAAAAATATACAAGACAAAAGGAACAATATTCTGTTCAATAGGTGATATGACTCCAAGAGCCAAAAGACTTCAAAGAAAAAAATGGAGAGAAAACTTTAATAAATTTTACCACAGAAAACTTTTACGCCACATCACTGTCCCTCCGTCATATTTAGTCTAGTTTGATTATATATTTTACACAAATATAATAAAGAACACCGTCAGGCCTAATTTTTTTATTTTCAACCGACTTCAAAAAGGAGGAGGTTCTCAATTCGACTGTATGTTTTTTTTTTTTTTTTTTATGTTTGTTACCTTAGAACTCCGTCATTTATTAACCGATTTGGACAATTTTTGTTTTGTTTGAAGTATACCCTATACTTCCAGATTGGTCCCATTTAAATTTAAAAAAAAAATACCACCCCTAAGGGTGGAAAAACAACTAATGATGAATTTAACCTACTTCTAATTGTCATATTGACTTGAAACTTTGCAAGTATTTCTATTTCCGTTGATAGTACAGTGGTTCGGTGTTGTTGATCTGATCTGATGGCAAGGCCAGAAGGTGGATAGGTGGAACTTTTCAACGGCTAATAGTAGATACTTTGAGTTTGGGCTTATTTTGTTTGATTTGACAAGCCTAACACGTTAGAATCCTTTCTTTGCTCCTACTGACTACACTAAAAAGGGAAAAATAAAAACTTTTTAACAAAAAAATAAAAACCGACTTCAAACAAAAGCACTAAAAAGTAAAAAATAACTGATTGGTAGTTTTCATTTACTATACATACCTAATCAAATATTTTCGAAGTCGGTGTGCTTTGGCTAAGTAATTAAAGCCTACCTATTAAATACATACCTAATCAAATATTTTCGAAATCGGTGCCAGCCCATACAAAGCAAAGCACACCGACTTCGAAAATATTTGATTAGGTATGTATAGTAAATGAAAACTACCAATCAGTTATTTTTTACTTTTTAGTGCTTTTGTTTGAAGTCGGTTTTTATTTTTTTGTTAAAAAGTTTTTTTTTTCAAAATGTTTAAATATGCACGAAATGAAATATTCACCCGACTGATTGATCGGAGTACTGTAGGGCCCTTCTATATTATTATATTTTTAGTTCGTTGCTTAGTTCGTTGGCGAGCAGTGATTGATGAGTATAGAGCACGCCGAATTACCTATGGTATTCTTGTGTATGCATTTTTTTGTCATTAAGAATCATCCACAGTCGAACATTTATAGTGTAACACTGCCTTTCCACTTTTGTGGCTTTGGCTTAGTGGCTTATATGTACGGCTGCAGTTCTCGGGATCTTGGGTTAGAGTACCGGGTCGGGCCGAGTACGCTATTGGTGTTTTCTGTCGAAACATTCTTGTTAGTAGCAGCACAGATTTTGAAATTTGGTGATGTTATACCACTGTTTTTTTTTACCTCGAACGCTCGTAAAGCCATCGGCCCTGAATTCTCACCGGTCGGGCCAAACAGTCGTCTCATGAAAGAAAAAGAGAGTGCTTTTGTGTCTGTGCACAAAATTCGTCGTAGTCAAAATCGGTCAGGGCGATATAATAATAAATTATTTTTAGAGTAGGTTACATACGGCTTGATTAATGACATTTCGGTTGTTATTTCCAATAACCCTCACTGAATGTGCGTGATGTTTTGAAGTGACAATAGATCCTAATAAGTAAAACAAACGAACACGTACCTAATACTTTATTACAATTAGACTACCCTAATCTGACTATTACAGCAATTGCGAAAGTGTGTGCATGTGTGTGTATATGTGTGTGTGCGTGTGTCTTTCTTATTTATTTACACTCTAAAGTGTAACTGGACACAATTGGATGTGTATTGTGTACACAATATAGACACCTTTTTTTTAACGTTGGGAAATGCATTTACGCACGAGGTGTGGGACTCACCGGCAAAGCCAGTACTACCCACTTAAACCCAACAAAGCCTTCCCCCGTCTTAATGGGGCGTCGCAGGATCGCTTACGCATTCAACTACGACGCCCCGACGGCAGGTCTGCCAAAGCAGACCACAACAACTACGGGGTTGCTCCAAGGTCCACTCTGCTATCAGAGAAGTACCAGGAGCAACCCGCATGGTACACCGCCCTCCGAAGAGGGCCACCTCCCTCCGCCCACCGAAGTGGGCCACCTCCCTGTGCGTTTCTTGGCTTCGCGCCCGGTTGGGTTGCCGGGCATTACTGAGCCCCCCCACCACGACAAGGTGAACGCACGTTGGGGGGGACACAATATAGACACCTGGACCATACCTTTCGACATCTAAGACGCGCCCAAGCGAAGCCAAGGTAAGCTGCTAGTGTGTGATACTTAAATAAATTTCATATTCTCATTCTATAAAAGAATTATCAAATTTCGACCAATTTTACTTAACGTAATATCTTAATTTAATTTAATATAATCCCTGAATCGATGTCATAGATAAATAACAATTATTATGGATAGACTATGACAGAGTAGAAATGATATTATGTATCGATGGAATTATTTTCTCTTGCTATTCCAAGTGAATAAAAGTAAAGTTTTCAGGATATGAAATGTGTCTGTGTGTCTGTATAAAATTGTTCACTTCGCCGGAGCTGCTAGTTTGATCCTGGAACATTGTCCAAGTATTTAACTTGCGTAACAACTGTTACTTCAGTAATTTTATTTACATAATTTAAATGATATCATATTGATTACATTTTTTCCAAAAGCTCTCCAAGATTATCTTATATGAAGAAAAACCCAAAAATTAATTATGTACGCACCAAAGAAGTTATACTTCTTTGGCGTAACAGAACAAAAATGGCTAAAGATTTTATTCCGTATGTCACACACTCTCTGTTTGTAAAAAGAATAATAAATTAATAAAATAAATAAGGCATGTTAGGCATATATATTATATGATATATTATATATATATATATATATATATATATATCATATATTCATTATTTATAGAATATCATTTAATTAAGGAAAGAATGTAATATTACCTATATGTTTTCCTTAAACGAAATTTTATAAATAGCATTAAATTGTGACATAATAATAACGGTTACCATTGCAACAAACAGTTATCGGCTAACTTCGTCATGTCGCTTTTTGGCTATCGATATGCGCGCGCATCGTAATATTCTCATAATTATACCAAACGTTCCAAAAGAAGTATAACTACAAAAAATAATATGAGAACTAGCGACTCACCCTCGCTTCGCTCGGGTTCGTCCCTACTTACATTTTAACGTTTAGTATTGATTTTTCAGAGATGAGACATAGATTCGGCCTCTGTATGGATAATAATGTCTATTTCAATAAAATTTTCCAAACATATTTAATGTAGAGGCTTGGTTACAATTTTATTATATGTATAGATTATAAAAAAATGTATGCAGTTAATGATAAAATAAATGAAATAGCATCCAAAGTAATAACGACAACCAAAGGTGGTAACATAAATCTGGGTAGATCCATTCTGCCTCGGGCGCCAGCCAGTATAGAATAAATGAAATCATTTATTACCTGATATAATCAATTAAAAGTTAACGAGAGAGGTCACTTACAGTTTCTGTACTCACACGCCGAAGCTAGATAGTACTCGTCATAGACTAAAATAGTGCTGAGATGCTATCTACTTAATGAGTAATACATATGTATTATATAAATGGGTAAAGATAAAATATTTCAGGTCATTTTTCTTCTTTCTTTATCAACCGATTTTCATTGTATATTTTTTATATTTAATAGCTATAGGGTTTCCAGGGAGGCCCATTATAGAGATTTAAAGACTTAGGAATTTGTTTTATATTTTTCAAATGTTTAACATCTTTTCAAATATGTTTTTTATTTTCATTATACACTTTATTACACTTTATTTTCATATGTTATATTATGTTCTCATGTACTCGATAAAAATGACATAAATACGCCATAGTATGGGTCATCATTCTATGTATCTAAATGACATAGTGTGTAACTTGTATTGCATAGTGTATTAATCCGTACGAGCTAGTAGCTACGCTTTTTGACCGACTTCCAAAAAAGAGGAGGTTCTCAATTCGTCGGAATCTTTTTTTTATGTATGATCACCGATTACTCGAAGATGCCTGAGCCGATATGGAAATGTTTTTTTTTCTTTAAAGGGTATACTTCCCAGGTGGTCCCATATAAATTTAATCGAAATCGGTCGAACAGTTTTAAAAAAAATCACCAATAAATATATTTTTTAAATAAATTATTTAATCCAATATGTTATTAAAAAACTTTCTTCTTACAAATTACCTGCTTATTATGTTGTAGTAATAATACTGGCCGCTTATTTATATAATATATGTATTAGAAACATAACTGTCACATGTATTTTATAATAGTCTCTTACACATGTTACGTACTACATATTTTTAAAGATGAATAAAGCCTAATTTATACACAGGCAATCTTTCAATTCCAACAATTTATTCATCTTTAATAGAACGCCGAAATAAATCTATAATATAATGTATCGATGTCTCAAGCCTGATAGATTCGAAGTCGAACCGTCCACGGAGACAAATGCTTCGTCGAAATGGATACATTGGAGAAAAACCTTCGAATTTTTTTTAGAAGAATCAAAAATAGCGACGGAAGAACAATTGTCGGATGAAATAAAACTAAAAAAATTAGTTAATAATGTATCATCAAACGTCTATAAATATATCTCATCTTGTACTACATTTAATTCTGCTATGTCAACATTAGAAAATATTTTCGTAAAACTCAAAAATATAATTTTTACTCGCCATAAGCTCAATACACGCATCCAATAGACAGGGGAATCTATAGATCAATACATACAAGCACTACATTTACTGGCTAAAGATTGTGATTTTAAAGCTGTGTCCGCCATTCAGAATGAAAATGACTCTATCAGGGAAGCATTTATATCAAGCCTTATTTCATCATCTATACGACAAAGAATACTCGAAAATCTAGACCTAAGCCTTGAAGATGCCGTAGATCAAGCTAGGGCTCTGGAATCGGCACAAAAACAAGCGGATAGCTATTCAAATCCAAATGATTCATCATTATCAGCAGCTACATCTAAACTTTCTAGATATAACGTAATAAAGTCAAAACAAAAATTAAAAGAACGCTATTATTGTGGTAATTCTCTCCATCCGAGACGTTTATGTCCAGCAGCAAACATTACTTGTCTCAAGTGTGGTAAACAAGGACATTTTGCTAAGGTCTGTAAAAGTCTTACAGCGGAAACTACGGACGAACAGTCTTCTAGTACAATATTGGCTGTTACAGATTTACAAAAGTGTTCCATAAATATTTTGGTTAACGAAATGCCACTAACGGCGTTAGTCGATACTGGAAGTACTGTTAGTTTCATTAAAGAAGATATCGTTCGTCAAATTAATATACCAACTCAGCCCTGGTGGCAAAATGTTTTAATGGCAACAACGTCCTTAAAATCTGAAATAAAATCTGCATGTTTGGTTACTCTTCAAATAAATGATCAAAAATTTCATAATATGTTACTAAGAGTCGTAGATAAATTATGCATGGATGTTATATTAGGTCAAGATATTTTAAAACTTTACAGCTCTTTAGAAATAAAATTTGATGGTTTCAAGCCTCCTTTGAGATTATGCGCTCTGAAAGAGGTAGCTGTAGAACCAATAAACTTATTTCCTCATCTGTCTAATGAAATAAAACCAGTAGCTATAAAATCTAGAAAATTTTCATCAAAAGACGCAGATTTTATAGAATCGAAAGTAAAGAAGTTGATATTGGACGGGATCATCGAAGAAAGTACTTCACCGTGGCGTGCTCAGGTACTTGTGACATCGGGAACTCATCATAAAAATCGCATGTGTATAGACTATTCGCAGACCATCAACAGGTATACGTATCTAGACGCATATCCTCTACCTAATATTGAAACAGTGGTATCTAAAGTGTCTCAATACAACGTCTTTTCTAAAATAGATTTAAAATCAGCTTATCATCAGATACCTATTCTAAATAAAAATAAACCCTTGACGGCTTTTGAAGCATGTGGAAATTTGTATCAGTTCCGCAGAATTCCTTTTGGAGTGACAAATGGTGTGTCTTGTTTTCAAAGAGCGATCGATACTATAATTCGAAAATCAAAACTTGAAGGTGTTTACCCATATTTAGATGACATCACAATATGTGGGGTCCATCAAAACGATCACAATGATAAATTACAAAAATGTATGAAAGTTGCTCAAGATTATAATTTATCTATTAACAAAGATAAGAGTGAATATTCCTTAAAAGAAATTAATATCCTGGGCTATAATATATGTAATGGCATCGTTAAACCTGATCCAGATCGTTTACAAGCGCTATTTAATATGCCAATTCCGGAAGATTCTTCATCTCTAAAACGCGCTATCGGCTTGTTCTCTCATTATTCCAAGTGGATACAAAACTATTCGGAAAAATTACATCCACTTGTACTAATAGAAAAATTTCCAATGAACACGATACAAAAAGCTGCATTCGAAGAATTAAAATATATTATATCACGGTCCTCATTAGCCGCTATTGATCCTAAAGAACCTTTTACTGTAGAAACTGATGCATCCGATTTTTCTATTGCAGCTTCTCTTACACAGAATGGCAGGCCAGTTGCTTTCTTTTCTCGGTCTCTGAATCAATGTGAGAAGAAATATCCAGCAATAGAAAAAGGAGCCTATGCTATTATAGAAAGTATTAAAAAATGGAGACATTATTTACTGGGTACACAATTTTATCTAATAACCGACCAAAAATCAGTAGCCTTTATGTTAAACGGTCATGCTAGTAAAAGTAAGAATGAAAAGATTCAAAGATGGAGGTTAGAACTATCCAATTATAATTTTGATATAAAATATAGACCCGGAAGAGAAAATGTTGTTGCTGATGCATTATCACGCCAAATATGCGCCTCAGTAACAATCAATAATTTAAAAGAACTCCATCAGTCTCTCTGTCATCCAGGAGTGACGCGCTTAAATCATTGGGTAAAACACAAAAATTTACCTTTTTCTATCGATGAAAAAAGATAAAAAAAGTTGTCACATCTTGTCCAGTATGTGCAGAAATAAAGCCAACATTACGTAAGTACAAGGGGACCCTTATTAAGGCGACATCGCCCTTTGAAAGATTAGCCTTAGATTTTAAAGGTCCTATACCTTCGTCCACAAGTAATAAATTTATTTTGGCGATAATTGATGAATATTCGAGATTCCCATTTGCATACGCATGCCCAGACACCTCCTCAGCAACGGTTATTCGTTGTCTCACTGACTTATTCTCTATTTTCGGTATGCCTGCATATGTGCATACAGATCAAGGTACGGCGTTTAGGTCTACAGAAATAAAAGACTTTTTAATGAATAAAGATATTGCCATCAGTCGCTCAGCGCCTTATAATCCACCAGGGAATGAACAAGTTGAACGTCTTAATGCTACTCTATGGCAAACTGTCCGAATTGCTTAGAAAACTAAGGACTTACCTATAACAATGTGGGAGACAGTACTAACACAAGCATTACATAGTATCAGATCCTTATTGTGCACAGCAACGAATGAAACGCCTCATGAACGTATGTTCTCTCATCCAAGAAGATCATCTTGGGGTCAATCCATGCCAACATGGTTAGAGTCAGGCAAAAAAGTATTTTATAAAAAATATTCAACGACATCGAAATACGATCCTTTCCTAGAAGAGGTAGAGATCATAGAACCGAATCAAGAATATAGCTTTATTCGGTTTGGAAACGGGCGAGAACAAACTGTGTCAAATCGACATTTAGCACCTCGAGGTGAAACGGAAAGCTCTGAAGAGGATTCAGATATATACTATACAGACACAGAATCCACTACACCTTCATCTGAAGAAGTTGAACCAATACCATCTACTGGTCCAGACTTAGAACCTCGAAGGTCAGATCGTACTAGACGCCGACCACAATACTTAAGGGACTATATTTCTTAAAGGGGGAAGAATGTAGTAATAATACTGGCCGCTTATTTATATAATATATGTATTAGAAACATAACTGTCACATGTATTTTATAATAGTCTCTGACACATGTTACGTACTACATATTTTTAAAGATGAATAAAGCCTAATTTATACACAGGCAATCTTTCAATTCCAACATATGTCTACACTAAAAATGGAAAAATAAAAACTTAAAAAGAAACCGACTTTCAGGCACTAAAATGTAAAAAATAACTACACGGAGGTTTTCATTTAGAATAGATACCTAATCAGATATTTTCGAACTCGATGCCGGCCGACAATATTTTAAGATATGAATATCTAATAGGTAAATATGTATTTTACGTATCGAAATATATTAGATTTGCTTTGCATCGGCTGGCGCAGACTTCGAAAATATCTGATTAGGTATCTATCTTAAATGAAAACACCCGTTTATTTATTTTTTCATTTTAGTTCCTGGAAGACGGTTTTTTTAAGTTTTTATTTATACGCCCATTGGAGGCAGTAGAGACGAGTAAATATGATCACACACCACAGTTATGATAGATTGTTATCTTATAAGAGTCCCAGACTTTAGCCCTACTCATATCCTATCAAAAAAAAAATCCTGTAAAAGTACATACGAGTATGAACACGTCATAGGAAGGCGGTTTGCAAAGCTATATATCGCTAGTGAGCGTAAACATTTATCGTCATAACATACAAGCGATATCTAATAAAAACAGTATATTTATTACAGCTGGTATTTACTTTTTTTAATGTTGGGTAAATTTTAGTAGTAATATTTTCCCGCGGCTCTGCCCGTGTAGTTTAAAAATATGAGATGTTCAACAGTATATTTTTTAAACATTCAGGGGTTGAGTTACCAAAAATCTTTTCTTAGCAGATATCTAGTCTCTACGAGGCATCTGCCAAATTTCAAGTATTAGTATTAATATTTTTGAGATTTCGTAATTAATCACTTCTAAATTGTAATTCGCTCCTTATATCTTATACTAGCGGCTCACCCTCGCTTCGCTCGGGTTCACCTCTAGAAAAGCACAAACAGATCTATCCCAATTAAGATATTGAAGACTTACATACTCATATATGTTTATATCAAAACATTTTAGACATCATGGTAAATACTGTTATTTATCAAAAATTATAAGTATGGATAATATTTACTTCTTAGTATGGCTTTCAGGGTTTTTACACTTAACGCAAGTTCTTTAAATAATAGATAGACAAAAAGTAAATAGTTTATTAGTCATTATTTTTTAATACTATTGGTAAATTGCATGTTTAAAGGGAAGACTTATAGTCCCAAGCCATGATTTGTAAAACTATTGGCACCCACCAATATAGAATTTATATAATTCAAAAACAGTAGGGGAAGGCCGGACAAAGTGAATAGCGGCCTAGTGGTATTTTAATAGGTAGGTACCATTTGTTTTGGTTTTCTAACTAAATTCATTAAACTTGAAGCTTCCATGAGTATAGGAGAATTCAAAACGCAGGTATTACGGATAGTGGCTGTAGATTCTAAAATACTAAATAATTGTAGGGGCTGTAGTTGAAAAATTCTCAGTAGAATCTTAGATTAGAGCAGTTGATGGTATGAACTATGACATCTCCGTGATTTGTAGCGTTCCGAAAACCGTTGGTCCTGGAACTAATCTTTCGCAGGTCGTGTTGTATTTCTGATCGAAATAAGAAAGGAGTACACTTGTATTGGCTGTAAACTTGTTCACGGTTCAATCTCCTGCATACACGGCTATCCTAATAAGTTTTGCCACCACGAGTGAAATTGGAACCTGTAGGACTTTCTTAGTTTACATATTATTTTAAAGGAGAATAATATCAACAATATAAAATTTAATCAATTATATTGTATGATAGGTATTATTATCGAAATATATATATCATACATCATGTCATATATTCGGGTTTCTTTTGAGAAGTAAAACAATTTAGATGATTTAGCAAGATGCAAACCTTGATTAATGGAGTCTCTTTCATCAAAAATGGCTGAGATTATTGATAGATTCTTGATAGCTATGGAAATAAATATGCCTAGACAACCCTGTGACGTAACAAAACGTTATTTAACGAGCCGCTGAATTTCGCTCCTAATCACCGTTTAATTATCACGCCCGTTTCCACGTGAAGGTCACTTGTCTGTCTAACTATATACAATTTTTGATTTGTAAACATTCTATTACAATTTACAGGCCCAATAACTACAGGCTCTATATCCTATCCTATATCTAGAAGTAATCTACAAGTGCAAGTCTGTTTTAGAAGAAACTAATTTACAAAATAAAAAAACCCGCCTGCGTAAAAAGCGAATTAAAAGATGAGAACAAGTTGACGAAAAATTATACTATTAGGCAGTCGGAGACTTACGAATACATCATCGTAGCAAGACTCGTAGCTAGTACAAAGTACAAATCATGTCTATGTAGATTTTTGGGCTTACATATGCATATTTAACATTAATTGTACCTACCGTCCCGTTTACGGTATCATTAATCCTTTCATTAAAGTTTGCCTGTAAAAGATTGCACATAGCAAGAAAACCACCGACATTGCATGCATATTGCATATTAATAAGAAGAAATCTGCTGATATATATGTATGATATAGATGTATCTATATATTATATAATATGGTTCGATTTTTCATTTTATCTCGCCACTTTAAAGCTAATCTTAAAAAACTCGATAAATATATTTATACCTATTTGAATATATTATACCAGAAATTGAGCCAGGTCTGAGATAATATTTGGAGATTGAAGAAAAGATAAAATAGTTAAATATTTGCACCTAGGGACGCACCCGAGCAAAGCAAGGGTAAGTCGTTATTATATGTGTATATATAAATACAATATAAAAATAAATATATTATTATATTTTATAAATATATTTTATGTAAATTAAAATAATATATTCATAAGATAAGATTAAAAGACAATAATATCCTAACGGTTATGTTGAATCAAAACTTAAATCTATGTCTGCAAATTAACATACACTAGACAATTATAAAATAAACATTAAAAGCTAAAAGCATGTTACATAAATGTCAAGACAAAAATTATTATTTACATGTAAAAACAACTAAACATATGTATCAATACAGACGGCGGAAGAAAAAACAAATAAATATTGTATATTATACAGGACATTGAAGAAAAATAAATGTAAACATAAAATAATAGATAATACTAGCAACTCCCGCACGTTCCGTTCAGGGTCGTCCCTAGGTACTTTTTAACGTTTAGTATTGATGTCTCAGACATGAGATATTTTCCCGCAGAAAAAGTATCATATATGTTGACTTGGATAACTAGCTATCATCATGCCAAATTTCATCAAAATCTGTCCAGTGGTTTTCTTACGATGGGTTCCCAGACAGACAGAGAGACAAAAATTCTAAAAACTATAGGTAGATTCGGCTTCTGTATCGATAATGATGACTATTTCTATAGAAATTGTATTCATTATCGATACAGATATAGTCTTATAAGATTTTCCAAAAAAATAATAATGTACAGACAGATTTGACTCAGTTACAATTTTATTATAATATGTATAGATTATAGATTAAAGATAATAGGCACTAGCATACCGTGTATTGAATTTAAGTACTACGAGTAGGTACATGTTTATAATACAGATGGTAAAAGAGGAAAAAAGTGAAATTAGCCCAGTGGTCAACCGTGTTTAAGTGTCGTCAAAAGTGGGAAACCGAGTGAAGCGGGTTCAAATCCCAGGTCGCGCACCTCAGATATTTTCATGTCGATTCATTTCCAACATAATTACCACTTGTTTTACGGTGAATGAAATCTTCGTGAGAAAACTTGCATGTCTGAGAGAACCTAGCAAATTTTCGAAAGACATGCAAATGTAAATCAATCCAACCGCATAAGTGCAATCCGCCAACCCGCACATGGCTAGCGTAGTAGACTATGATCCCCCACGAAATATTTCTTAATAACTCGACATCCTAAAACACTTCGTCTTATCGCCTCCAACAAAGGAGCTAGCTCGTTTTTCGCTGAAAAAATGCAATTTTTTGTAAATAAAGTAGGTATATTAGTTTAAAAGGTTATGAAAATATTTATATTTACTGTGGGAAGAAACTTCACTTTCGATTGAGAAAAAAAGGGAAAAATGTATAACATTTCGCAGCAACTTGTTTTTAATTAAATAATAAAATATATTTACATAAGAAATCTTTAAAAGAAATCCCTACAAAGCGCCAAAAATTTTAATGTAAATGTATAATTGATGCATAATTTTTTCCAGAGTAGACTGGACTGGTCGAAGCCGATCCTCTCGCAGATACACAAAATCGCACCACACTATGACAAATGGGTGAACACCGCGGTATATAGGAAATGTCGTCTTTTTGAGAGCTCTATAATGGAAAGTTTGACGTTCACACCCTGGTACATCGTACCGATGTTCTGGATACCTATCATAATTTATTTGGGTGTTTCGCAGTTTATGACATACGTGCTCTGTGGAGGTAACTTGATCTATAGCAGAGATCTAGAGTTGTCTTCTATAATAATATTATAAGATAGATTTGTTTGTTTGTAATCAATGAGCTTTGAACTTACTAAACTGATTTTAATATTTCTTTTACCATTAGAAAGCTACATTAACCAAAATCAACATCTCTAAGGCTATATTTTATCACTACTGTACTTTTTTCAAACAGAAACCTGTTTGGGTCACTAGTTTATAATGATTCACTTAAATATTGTACAGAAATATAAAATACGTTTCTGTATCGAATATATTTATATATAATTAATATATATATATTTGATTTAAAATGAAGAAAATAAAACTTTTAATTTTACTTGAGCGAATAGATTGATAATAATTTAAAATATTGTGTAATTTTTACAAACTTCGGTTTAAAGATGCTTTATTTATTTCTCAATAGAATAACATTCACTTGATGAGAAAAAAAATACAAGTAGGTAGTTGAACATTATTTACAACTTTAATATAATTATGTAAAAATAATTCGAAAAGCTAATTAACTATACCTAGTTGTCCACTCGTGTAATTGTTCGTGACCTAATAAAACATGGGATCATATGGGGTCATATGTTTAGTTAGTGAGATTACGACTTACGAGTATTTATAACCTTGTTCGTATCGTAAACTATTTATAACCTTGTTTTTAAATTAGAGAATAATGCGTAATATCTAAAAATAAACTAAAAAAGTTAAAATTAATTGATTATCTACTTTAATAAAAATATAATAATATTAATACTAAATTCTTGCACTAGTGGTTAGTTTCTACTTTCTAATAATGTTCATTATACATGAGTATATAAAATAGGTACTATTTATTGAGGTATACCAAGCTTTTGTATGGTATGTAAGTACGAGTATGTATGTAAGTGTAATATAAAAGCTTCTGAACAACAGAAGAGGTGAAAGTATTAGGGTTTGAGCTAAACTCTTATATGACAAAAACTAGATCGAATAGAATTAAATAGGCGTTTTTAAAACTTAAGTCTATGACATCATGTTGATCATTCTTACCAAAGATCTTCTAAAGAAAGCATCTAATATAAACCAACAGGAATACTTATTTTTGTTTTAACTTTGTTAATATAATAAGATAATTAAAATTTGATAATTCAATCAATGATTATCAATTATCAATTATTATGAGTAGATATAATTAAAATAATATGTATATATTTTTTTAGATTCATGCCCAGCAGACAGTTTAACAAGCTTTCAGTTTCTACGACATATTGTCTTCGGTATTATCATATGGTCGTTACTGGAGTACTCTGTGCATAGATGGGTGTTTCACTTCGACCCGGGCTCGTCACTCACGATGATTCAAATACATTTCTTGCTCCACGGACTACATCATAAGGTTTCTTTCATACTTTCTTCAATGCACTTTTCACTATGATCTTTCTTCGGAGGGCATCTAAAGTATCTGTAATAAGCCTAATTGTCATGTCTGAGTCGTTCCGTCAGCAGAAGACCGAAACTTGTACCTATGAACATGACATTTCCGAATGTTATGTCTAGCATCACTTGAGCACGGCTAGATTGATTTGTCCATATACATGTTTTTTTAATATTTGTAATATTTTGGTATCTATAAAGTTTTCAAGGAGTAAAAATAAGAAAGGTTGCCCGGATAATTGGGAAATACGGGTACTACTTAAAGACAACAAACTTTATTCAAATTTGGACAACGTCTGTTGGATCTGTCAGTACTTAGTATAACAAATATGTGAACTATGTATTTACTTAATATATAATGAACTTTATATTTTAGGTGCCTTTCGATGGTCTACGACAAGTGTTTCCGCCGATTCCTGCTCTCGTTATAGGAATCATGATGTTCGTACCCGCGTGGTGTATTTTTTCATACCCAATAATCAAAACAACTGGTGGAATTATAGGTATGTAAATGTTAAGTGAACTTCATAAACTAATTAGATATAAATATCTGTATTTAATATTATAAATGTGAAAGTCTGTGTGTATGGATGTTCAATGTTACTATTTCACGCCAGAACGGCTGAACGTATCTAGATGAAAGGCACAGAGATTAGATTATAGTCTGGAATAACACTAAGCTTTTTAAACACTAGGCTTTTTTGTGGGATAGGTTTGTATTTGTTTTCCTAGGGGCGAACACGAGCGATTCGAAGGTTAGCCACTAGCTTAAAAATTCGGAGTTGTTAATCTGAAAAGAATATAATTTACTAGCCTTATTATTAAAACGTATATTAAATTGTTAAAATTAAAATGTTATTATAATTTTTTGAATAATATTATAAAATGTTAAAATTATTCCTTATCCTCAAGGCCGCATTTATTAATAAGTGTAGGAAACTGAGATTTATCTCATCATCTTAATTACTTAATGTGATATTATTTATATTATATTTATTTATATTTCCCTAGCGACTCAGCCTCGCTTCGCTCGAGTTCATACGTTCCTACGTTTTAACGGTTAGTATGGAATACATAGTCGATCCCTTACTCTGTGAAAAGCAAAAAGAAACCTATCTCACGGTAACCGTACATTTTTCCGGGATAAAAAGTAACCTATGTGCTATTCTAGACCATAATCTATCTTTGTAATTTCATCCCGATTTGTTCTGCCGTTCTGACGTCATTAAGTGACAAACATCCATCCATCCAAACTTTCGCATTTATAATATTAATGGGATTAAACCTACGGAAGTTTTAATGTTTCATTAATTCAGCGTTAGAACGCAACTTTTAAGATATTAAAATGACAGAAATTTACACAAACTTTCATCCCCTATTTTATCCCCTTAGGGGATTATTTCCGAAAAAATCTTAAATAACGCCTACAGTATAAAATAAATATTCTCTTCAAATTTTAAACGTCTATTATTATCGGTTTGGGCTGAGCGTTGATAAGTCAATCAGTGTAATGTTCATAACAGTGAAAAATAATATTTTTTTAATTTTTCCAACGGGGATCTACTCTGAAGCCTTTCAAAAATAGCTTCAAGAAAGGAAAAAAGTCTCAAATTTAAAGTTTAACAAATAATTATCACACTTGCAATGTTCATGTTCAAGCAAAAATTAATTATTAATTCACTATTGCAAAACTAATTGAAAAATTGTGATAAAAAAATGTTTCCGGCGGATAATTGTTCATTTATCTATGTAGCCCCTGAATTTTTTCATTTTTTAAATTTTACATTTAATACTAGCGACTCACCCTCGCTCCGCTCGGGTTCGTCCCTAGTGAAAATTTAGGTTTGTATGTATTTTTTAATGCCGAATAACATTTTTTGTTGGGGTGGACCACCCTTATCTCTTAGGGGTAAGGAAAATAGATAGTAGCCGATTTTCAGATCTACTGAATACGCATATAAAATTTGGTAAAAATCGGTGAAGCCGTTTCGGAGGAGTACGGTAAACAAACATTGTGACATGGAAATTTTATATATTAGATGTTAAAATAAATTTTATTGATAAAGTGTCCAAAGTAAGCAAGGCAGAGCATACGTTTTAGGCCGTTTCTCTGGAAAATTATAAATATTGGTCCTACAGTTCCGAGAGTTAAGACTTTTTTTTAGGAAATTTCCTCCTCTTTTTGAATCTTTCTCTTTTTTAGATTTGAAAAACGTCTATTAGTTTTTGATATACATATTTGCAAAAAACTAAACAATTTCTGCAAGCGGAACTTGTTGTTTTTTCAAAAATCATCTACATGCCATTACTAATCGAATGACACCTAGTTCATATTTTTCCTAGACTGCTGAAAAAAGTTGACTAATAAGGAATTTGTTGACTAGACCAAAAAAGGTATCCTAAATGTTGACCGGAGTAATAACTACTGCTACACAAAATTTAGTTAAAATCGGTTGAGTACTTTTTGTGTGAAATGCTCACATCTAAACAGACATACATACATGAACACAAACAGACAATTTTTTTAATAACTATTATTATGGGGTCTCTATTCTGTACATAATACGTTATGTAGTCATTGTTTTTGAAAAATAATGTACAGATTTCGCTAAGTTACGTTTTATTATATGTAGGTAGGTATAGTAAGTAAACCCCATATCATTTTAGACGTTTTATATGTATTTTATAACTTATGAGAGTTTTTATGTAAGTCGCCAAATGAATCGGCAAATATATTTCAATGTTTTTATTACAATATGTCTTAAAAATTAAAGAAAACGGGGTATAGTTAGGAACTAGAAAGTATTATTTCTATAAAATAAAAACATCTTTTTATTTGTTAATAATTAATGTTTAATTATTATTAACAATTAGTTGTTAATAAACAACTGTAATGTGGAATTAATTTTATGTCCTTTTTTCCAGGCTACCTCATATACGACATGATACACTTCTACGTCCACCACGGCTCGCCTAAAGACGGCACGTATCTTTATGCGATGAAAAGATATCATTCAAACCATCACTTCCTGAATCATAATAAAGGTAAATAATAAAATAGTAAAAATATAATATTTAAGCGCGTTTTTTTAATCGTGAGATAAAAGTCTCTCAACTATATTATTCGTACAATTAAGTATAATTTTTAATTGTGTAAGTTAAACCTACTTATTAAGTAGGTAGGTATATAAAGATTTTTTAATACGTATACTCACTCTGTATATGGTACATTGGTGATTATTAGAAAATTAACTATTATACACATATTCCTATGATCTCATTATAATTTAATGATTAAGTTTAGTTTTATCAGTTTAATATTCAATTATTATATTTTATGCTGACTAATTGCCAATTGGTTGGCAATGTAGTAGGTATGATAGCGTCAATATCCTTTTCAGTCTAATGCTTAAATCCCTATAATTTGAGATTTATTGGTATTATTGATGGTTTCTTTTTAATTTAGATATCGGTATGCATAAACTATGTCTTATTAGTATGCAATACAGATAAAATAAAAATTATTAACTAAAATGTTTTTTTTTTCAGCATTCGGCATAAGCAGCAACATATGGGATCATGTGTTTAAGACATTTGTTCACGTTAAGAAATTAGGATTTGGTTTACAATGGTGATTTATTTCACAGGATGTAAGAATATAATTTAAAAAATGAAAGATTGAAATTATTTTGAAATGTATGATAGGTTTACAAAGAGCTTATACTAAAATTTAAATATAATAATGTATGTTCTAGTTTATAAGATTGTTGACACTTATTTTAATTTATTTTAAAAAAACCTAAGACATTGAGTACGAGTAGGACTGTAAAACGTTAACAAAAATGTTATATTTAATAGACTAATTTACAGACCAAAAGTACTGTAATAATTTTATTACTACCTGGGCGACCGAGCTTCGCTCTGAGTTCTTTTTTGTTATATCGTATTTTTAGATGATAATCTAGTTTTTGGCCAAAAGTACAATTTTCTTTTTAATTTGGCTTTAAAATTAAAAAAAATTAAACTTGAATAAAAACAAAAAAAAAACAAAAGTAAAAACTTTGTATCCGACCGGGTTTCGAATCCGGACACCTGTGATTATATCAATCAACAAACTAGCGCCTTGGCCGCTTGACCGCGATGCTTATTCTTGAGCGTGCGAAATTAGCGACCATATTTTGCGTTGAATAATGCGAAAGAAAACCGCATGAAAACTCGAAAACACCCGTTTTCCCAGATCTTTCTAGATCAATATTTCGCCCCCGAAAACCCCCACATAGCACCAAATTTGAGCGAAATCGCTAACGATTTGAGTTTCCGAGGTCGCTGGTATATCCATACTAATATTATAAATGTGAAAGTGTGTTTGTTTGTTTGTTGTTTGTTTCTCTTTCTTTCACGTCATAACGGAGAGACGGAATAATGTGAGTTTTTGTGTGGAGGTAGTTGGAGGGCTGGAGAGTGACATAGGCTACTTTTTATTGCGGGTGATAATCTCATTTCCGCGGGAAAACACGTTATAATACAACCCAAAAATTATTTATGATTAGAATTACTTGAAACTTGGTATTAATGTTCTTCAATACAATTAAATAAATGCGTGTTTTAGCATTTTCGAAATTCATCCCATAAGAGAGCAAAATAGCGTATGAAAGTTTGTATGAAACCTACTTTTTTAGTTTTTCTGTAGTTTTAACGCATGCGAAGCCGCGGGTTCTGCTAGTATTTCATAAATTAATAAATAAAGAAATATACAAGAATTGCTCGTTAAAAGGTATTAAATTAGAAAGATACACTAAATATTATTTAGAAATACGAAGTGATAATGTTATGATAATTAGATACCTACTACGTTAATTCTGGATAATAGGGATTAAGTTTCAGAAAAAAATCGATACCTACTAATTTAATCGATAACAATTGATAATCCAGTTTATAGCCTTCTTATCGATAGTAATAAAAAGTTGATAGAAGTAATTTAGCTGATCCGATAACAGAAAGTAATATTTATAATCTATACATATAATAAAATTCTTACTAATTCTAATCTGAATATATTTTGGAAAATTTTATTGAAATAGATATTATTATCGATACAGAGGCCGAATCTATAGTTTTTAGAATTTTTGTCTGTCTGTCTGTCTGTCTGTCTGTGACCGCATCACAGAAAAACCACTGGAAGAATTTTGATGAAATTTGATGTGATGATAGCTGGTTATCCTGGTCAACATATAGGATACTTTTTACTGCGGGAAAATATCACATCTCTGACAAATCGATACTAAGCGTTAAAACGTAAGTAGGCATGAATCCGAACGGAGCGAGGGCGAGTCACTAGTTCAAAATAAAATTTGTGTACTTTCATCAATTGTAAGATACATTTAATATATCTTTTAAAAAATAAGTCGTGTAAAGTACATTTCTGTACGAAACCGCCTCTATATTTCTTATTGTAGTAAATAGAGATAATAATTTGACGCTATGGCTACATCCTTAAACGAGCTATTCTTGTATATTTATTTATATACATATACCAGCGATCTCGGAAACGGCTCTAACAGATTTCGCCGAAATTTGATATGTGAGGGTTTTCGGAGGCGACCTAGATTAGTCTTTATGTCTGGGAAAACGCGTGTTTTCTAGTTTTTATGCGGTTTTCTTTCGTATTATTCCACGCTAAATATGGTCGCTAATTTCGCACGCTTGGGTGTCTAAAAAATACGATTTAACAAAAAAGAACTCAGCGAGGCTCGGTCGTCCAGATTCTACTTATACATACTCGTATAATAGGCACAAATTACAATCCTAAGAAATCCTAACGTACAATGACTATACATATTTATGTGATTTTAAAATAACTCCCCGGTACAAATCTATATATTATGATAATAAACTTGTTTGATTTATTGTCCACTGTCCAAGAGTTATGTAACCCAACACGTGGGCTATTTAGATATCCTTCTCGGAAGGATCTTATACTTTTGAATGTATCGTCCTTTTTAGATCTTTCTTAAAAGGATCTATTATTTTAAACAATGTTCATGTAAAACAATTGAGTTGACACATTTGCAAGCAATTACGATAAATAGTTTAAGGGTCCTTATTTTTTGTGATGGGAACCCACACACACTACCGCACTCATGTTCCTATAAAACCTTAGTAAATAAGTTTATTAAATCAGTTGTACTTGTCCTTTTGACGAAAAACGTTGTTTCATTACAACCCAAGGTCCCGTTAACGTAACTCAGGCTCTACATACAGAAGGTGACACATTAAGTTCCAGGATTGATATAGAGCAACTAATAAAAAATTCTAAAACATCTAATCTATTTATTACTAGCATTGCCCGCGGCTCCGCCTTCGTTCAGATGACCAAAAGGTTATACATATTAGTATACTCTTACATTGCAGTTTTTATATTTTTTCTCATAAATGAGACATTTTCTCGCGGGAAAAAGTATCCTATATGTTGACCCGGATAACCAGCTATCACCATACAAAATTTCATCAACATCCCTCTAGTGGTTTTTCTTTGGTGCAGTAACAGACAGGCAGACAGACAGACAGACAGACATACAAACATTCCAAAAACTATAGATTCGACCTCTGTATCGATAATAATGTTTATTTCAATAAGATTTTCCAAAAAATATTTAATGTACAGATTCGGCTTAGTTACAATTTTATTATATGTATAGATTTAACTAGTTGTTCACCATCACTTCACTCGCGTTGGTCCCTGTATATGATTTGTGGTCCCTGGGTACGTTTTAACGGTTTGGGTAGCAGCATGATAATATATAACTTATAGCCTTCTTCAATAAACGGGTTACTAATGCAAAAACGAATTTTTCAAATCGGATTTGTTGTTCCTGAGATTAGCGAGTTCAAACAAACAAATAATCAAACTCTGCCTCTTTGTAATACAAAGAGGCAGAGTTTGATTATTTGTTAAGTTAAGTATAGATAATTTACACTAATATTTAACTATTCAAGCTAAACTATTGTCCTTTTTATTCTATGACAATAGAATCTCTGTGTTAAGACTACAGTACAATTTTTAATAAAAAATCAATAGACAATATGTATGCAGGACCGGCCTTAGCCATCTGGGCGCCCCGGGTGAGTCATGCCTTTGGCGCCCTTTTAGGTATACTTATTTCATTACATAAAAAAAACGTGTATGTAGAATTATTTAGTGAGAGATACGATAAAACGCCGAGTCTAGTTTTCCTTTAGATCGATAAAAATAAGTATTCAAATTAAATGGTTAAGTTGAGCTGGCGCGCGCGGCGCCCTGTATAACCTGGCGCCCCGGGCAGCCACCCCGGTCACCCCTCTCTAAAGCCGGCACTGACAGCTGCATGGAATTTTATTTCGCCGAGCTTGTATTGTGATTTAATACTCGAATCGAATAAAAAACTCTAAATCCCAGGAAAAAAGGATTTCTATGGGATTTAAAATAACGGAGTGTTTAAATAAACTTCAAGAACAAAAGCCGCGGAAGCAGCTTGAACAAAACTAAAGTTATTGGTTATAAATATAAAATAAATATTTAAAATGTATATACTATACCTATTACCTACCTATTTATTATTTTCTATATTTCACGTAAAGATAATATAGCAAATAGCAAAATTATTTAATTTAATAAATGTGGATCGTCTTTAATGTCTGTATTTAAAAAGAAATGTCTACTTTTAATGAAAAAAGGATTTATGTTAATTTTAGATCTTTTTTTTAATTCATATTTGATATTTCTGTATAAGTTATCCATTATGGTTTCCGTTTACCAGAGTCAGACGTTCGGCTAACTTAAGAGGAAGCAAGGTCGACCCCCGAAAGGGGTACAGACTATAGTGTGCCTCTGTTTGCTTTAGCATGAGTACCTACCAATAATGTTGAGGATTACTATGTATATCATACACAGTGTTTTAAAATTTTTATACACCTAAAAGAAGGTTTGAGAAGATGAACTTATAACTTGAATATAATAGCATAAATATTAAGATATCGTTCATTTATTAAATAACGGAAAGAACTAAAAGTCCTTTTTTTTACCTACCACTTTAAATTTTATTTGAATTTGGAAATAACATTGATAATAACTTCGTTTTACAATTTATCTGGAAACCTTGTACTTATGTCGCAATTTAAATTAGTATAATAAATAATTGTTGTATTATAATGTGTTACAATATATATCTACGTACCTATTAATAAAGAATTATAGGTAACGGATAATAACGGATAAGCAAGTAAGCAATTTGTGAAGTAGAAATATATATGTACCTAGTTGACGTTAAATGTTATTAAAGATATATTTTTTGTAATTATTTTATTATCATTTACAATTAACCCTGCCAAGAAACCTATAATATCTGAGATGGCTTTAGGGCCTATGTACACGACTGTTTTTAGCGCACAGTCAACGCGCGTTCGATGGATTTTCGGTGGATTTTCATGCGCCAATTGTTTATTCTAAACCCATCGAGTAGGCAATCAAAATAAAGGGTTAAATAGGCGATCACAAAAATAAATATAACTTATAAATTTAAAAATAATGTGGGGTAAGAATTTGCTAAATATAACTGCAAAATATGTCTAATTGGCAAAAACTAAAAAAACTGTAAATAAAAAATAAAAACCTATATTATAAAAATAAAAACGACTGCATAAAAGACGAGTAAAAAGCTGAGAATGAGTGGACCAAGTTGATATGAGATGTACATACATATGTGTCTTCGATTACATAATAGGTACTATTTTCCTTAGTCAAATTGTTTTTTTTGGTCAGCTTTTATTTTAAATTTATTAGCGCACCATATACGCATATGACGTAGGTCCAGTACCAAACGGACAAGAAATTTTGTCATACTAATTAATCCAATTCAGATTATTGCTACATCATTACCAGTGATCAAATCAGTTATTACTTAAATCAATTTCAAAAATGTTATCATTAAATAATTTGAAACTTTGCGAAATTCGGTTAGCACTAATTTGACACAATCGAGCATATCTTATGGAGCTTGTAAGTGGATAGAGAGGTTTTCAATGGCTTATAGTAATACCTTCGAATTTGGACTAACTTGATTCGTTTTAGAGAGAAAATATATATCTATACAGTCATTTTTAACATCCAATTGCTGGCCACAGGCCTCCTTTCAATACTAGAGGGATCGAGCTATACTCCACCACGATGCGGGCTGGTGGACTTCACATATCTTTTGAAAACTTGCTAGATTCTCTCAGACAAGCAGGTTTCCTCACGATGTTTTCCTTCACCGTAAGACAAGTGGTAATCATGTTGAAAATGATTCGCACACGAAAATATCAGAAGGTCCGAGACCAGTGATTTGAACCCGCTTTACTCGGTTTCCCAAACCGAGAAATCGAGTGAATTTAAAAATACAGGCATGTTATTATTAATCCCACTGGGATACCACTGCCAAAGAGAAAATATACTGTACAAATAATGTTCCCTTGGAGAAATGAAAAAATACTCACACACACACACACACACACACACACACACACACACACACACACACACACACACACACACACACACACACACACACACACGCGCGCGCGCGCACACCAAATATTCCCCAAGAAATATAAATATAGGCCCCTAATTAGACTCGAACATGTGACCTCTGCAGGCTTAGAGGAAGGTACTTTGACCTACACCAAGGTTGTATCGGTCAACATTTTCATAATTGTTCGCATGAATCATAATCTTACGACAATCGTTATATTATATCATTATATTGAGAAAGATCGATCGATATTCAGACATGCTCTATCCGTATAGCTTCCGTAAAGTAACGCAAGAAACGTGACTTGATAAGATGACGCCATATAAAAGTACAGTGTTTGTTCAACCTGCAAAAGGTTACAAAATTTGGAATTGTAATCATTACACCATATCTATATTTTTCATTAACTGTTATTATTTCAGTCACAGTTTCGGATGGTATAGGATGTAACAAATCAAAACATTTAATATTACTGATTATAAATTATTGTTATGTCTACATTAAAGACTGAGAATGAAACTCAGAAGTATCTTTAAAAAAATATTGAAAGTTTTAGTGATTTCCTATTTAAGTGCCACAGTTAGTGCTTGTTTTGATTGTGGCTGGGAATTTTTATTTGAGGATCTTTTATCGGACGTTTGTCCCATATTTGAGAGTGCTAGTTCAGCAATAAAGGATCTATTTCTTTTTTCATCAACAGGCAAGTATTTACAGCTTAGTTTTGTTGTATGTATATAATAATGTATTTCCATATTTTAATAACATAAGAGATTTACATAAATTGTATAAACTTTGTCTGTTCGAAATGAGACAAATTGAGAAAAAAAAGTCAATACATTTAATCTACAATACGCCCGTTTTTACCTATTTTATACAAAAATATATCAATAGGTCTGGTTTATGGTCTTTCAGAAGAAGAATCTCCTATTTCATCAGAACTAATCACGGAAAGTCTCAAGTGTGGGCGTGAGCTGTCCCGAGAAGCAAAGAAACGAGCAAATCAATTAGTTAAAAATGGAGTTACTTTGGAAGCATGTACTCCAGCTTTGCTACATTTCTTCTCGACGAAGTTGCCTAAAGACGCAAAGAAAGCTTCGGAGACGTCTCATGAACTGCTTACTGCGACTAAGATCTTGCAAATGAAATTATGCTCTAAGTAAGCTAGTTTTATAATTGAGTTTTATTAGTTTATCGATTTTTTTAAATAAAATAGAGTTTTGAATAAAATATACTTGAAATAAAATAGAGTTTTTGAAGATTCTGTCCGTCTGTGTATTTGATCCAATCTTAGTTGTTAATGCCTAAAGAGTTTCAAATTACATTTAACATTTTTACCAATATTGGCAATAGATTGAGTAAAGACGTATTTTTTTATTTAATTAAGTTTTTTTTTGTTAAAAATTATATAATTTTCATTTCAATCGGTCGAACAAGTGTTTAATGTTAAGCAGAAGTTCTACACAGTATAAAACACAAATTGTGCTACTACATTAGAAAAATCTATTGTATCTGCATTTAAACTTAAATAACAACTCACGTTTTCGCATTAAATTATAATTATACGAATAAATACTATGGTTCTTTATATTACTTTTATACCATGTTATTTAGTTCGGACGTGACTCCAAACACCTTCCTGTCGTTCTTGGAGAGCCAACCAGTCAGACCCCATGAGTTATATTGCAAGCCGGTCAACATAAAATGTATTGGGTGCAACAAATATCGAAGTATTGATGGCACTTGTAACAATTTGCAGCACCCAGCGTGGGGCAGACAAGGAGCGCCTTTCACTAGAATCGCTTCTACACGATATGCGGATGGTAAGGACTAAAAATACATATTTTTTTTTAGTCGTGGAAGAATGAATACGTACACAATTTATTGCTCATAAATTTTTTTGTAGTAGGGCAAATATAAAAATGAACGTAATTATCAAAAGTTATTATTTGCAATATAATATTGACGTTATTCATGGCAACATATAATACTAGCAGAGCCCGCGGCTCCGCTCGCGCTAAAACTACAAAAAAACTCTAAAAAGGTAGGTTTCGAATTTCGAAATATGTTAAAACACGCATTCATTTAATTGTACCGAAGAGCATTAATACCAAGTTTCAAGTAATTCTGATCATAAATATTTTTTTGGGTTGTATTATAACGTGTTTTCCCGTGGGAATGAGATAATCTCCCGCTGTAAAAAGTAGCCTATGTCACTCTCCAGTCCTCCAACTATCTCCACACAAAAATCAATCCGTCGTTCCGTTTCCACGTGAAAGAAGGACAAACAAACAAACACACTTTCACATTTATAATATTAGTATGGAAGTATGGATTACTAACGTAGTTACATAATATACCTATATTGTGTATGTGCACATAATAATACTGCATAAAATAGGTATATTTTTTAAATAAAATTGGAATGTGATATATACATAATTTTATCTTAAGTAATATTTAGGTAAATTGTTATTTAGTAGGTACTTTCATATTTCTACTTATTACACTGTCACACACTACACTTATAGCACTGTCTATTTGCTTAGAGAATTTCCCTAATGCCGTTAGTGCACCAAATAGCCATTAATCTCTGACTGTCTATGCGATTATTTGAAAGTGAATATTAATGACTTGGTGATAATTAATTTACTTGTGTAGAATGTTTGAGGACACTCCCTTTGAATAATAACACTATGTCTAGGTAAATTAAAAAATACGAAGAAAGGATTATTTATTTTAGATGGCAATAAATAGTCATTTAAAATATACTAAGACCTATTAAACTATATTTTTATTGATATTAAAAAAAAATCTTTTAATACAATGTGTTTTTCCGATTAGGTATATATGCAATGCCGGTAGCAAAAAGCGGTCGTCCATTACCAAATCCTCGCCTACTTTCGACGTGTCTTTTCTTAGACCGGGCAATATCTAGCCGAGTGTTAACGTACCTCAATATGCAGTGGGGGCAGTTTATTACACATGATCTCATCTTTCAAGTTATGGAAACCACTGGTAAGACTAAATCTTAAAATACAGATTACAATGTTAAGTTAAAATAACACAATATTGCCTAATCAATTTTAGGTGACAGAAAGTATTATCTAAAAAAAATATTATCGATATTGAATCGAACGTTTGTTACTAAAAACGTCTGAGATGGGATGGAGAAAGAGATATATATTATAGAGCATTTGCATTAAATCTATATAACATTCGACCAGAAACTTGAGGCTAGGACTTCAGAACTACACTAATGTTCTAGTTTAGTATTCCTATTACAAAAGATAAGTAGATATATTATAAGTTTCTAAAATATTTGTAGATGAGGGTGGAATCCAATGTTGTTTAGGAGATGGTCGAGATGTTCTTCCGCAAGAAATGCAAAATGACAAGTGCATTCCGATATGTGTGCCAGAAGATGATCCTTTCTATAGACATCATGGGATCAAATGTCTTAACTTTGTAAGAAGTGTGACAACACCAAGAGACGACTGCAGTTTGGGACATGCGGAACAAGTAAGATCACAAAAAATAGCTTTAAATATTTTCTTTGGTAAGGGTTCTAAGCATTGATAAACAAAAACTCAAGATACTCGTACACAATTGGCGACTCAAAAGAGTGTCCTCAAAAATAAGCGCATCATTCGAAATAGAATTGCGCTTTTTTCAAATTTCTTTTGTTCATTGCTTTACACAAAAATAAAACGCACGTTGTTTCGTTTAAAACAGTACTTTGTGTGGAGTAAGTCTAAATTTGTGTTTAGACAATTAGAACTTTCAATTATAGAATTTTATTCTTTGGTGTGTTGGTTTACGTCAAATGTCGACGACACTTTCTGAAAAAATATTTGTTAGGAAATGTGTATATATGTTTTTATATTATATCAATGGGTTATAGGTATCTTTTAACTGTTAGCCCCATTAACCGAAAAAATTAAGGCAAAACAAACTGTTTAAGTGCGTTGTATGGTCATATTCAAAAAAAGTACCTACTAAAGAACGAATATTCATCAAAAATATTAATTTCCACGTGTTCACCTTAAGTTTTAATGATTATAATTGTCTTTACTTTTATGATGTGTGTTTTTAAAAAAATATACTTTTTTGATATTGTATTTCCTTATATATACGCAAACGTTATATATAGCGTTTGCTTGATACTTAACATAAAAGGTAAGTACCTACTTGTACACTCATAAGTGCTACGAGAGAGAGCATGTTATTATACAGCATATTATTATTTTCCAACTATTGTTATTAAAAGAATAACAGTATAAGTACATACTCTTATTGTTATTATAATGCCTATTGTTGGCTTAGAAATTATAGATCTATATAACTACATAATATCTATAAAAATCGATGTGTGTATGTATATATTATCTATGGACTCCAAAATGGCTAGAGCGATTTTATTGAAAATTTCAGGCAATCTTTAGCTTAGCCCAACGACTGATCCTGTGAAGTTTGGTAGCGATCGGAAGTTCAAGCGCGGACGAAGCCGCGGGTTGTGCTTATATCTAATAAATATTAACCATGAATTTATTTTTTTTAGATGAACACAGTAACTAGTTTTTTAGATGGATCTCCTATTTATGGATCCGATACAAAAACAGCTCACAAGCTCCGAAGCAAATCTGGCGGCAGACTTCGAGAGGAGAAGAGAAAAAACTGTAAATTAGGTTTTTTGCCTTCTGTTGATGATAAATTAGCTGTTTGCGATCTAAGAAATATTTCAGAGCCTTGTTATCTGGCTGGTAAGAATACGAAATTGCAACTAATAAAATTATTATAATAATAATGTGAACATTTAATAAATACTTTATCATCGACTAACTGCCCTTTTGGTGCAGTGAAGGCTGGCATTGAAAACTCGGTTGTAGTTTACTGATTCGACTCCAGTGTTGTTAAAACATCAAAACATTTGTGGTCAAACACTGTCATTCATTTTTTTGAGGTTTTAGTGGGATTTATGAAATACATCACCTAAACTATATTCGCTTCGTCTTTTACTGTTATTAATTTTAAGGATAGTATGCGAACAATACTTTAAAAACATAAATAAATTTAAAAAAATATAGTATAGTAGCGACCTAACCTCCTCGCTCGAATGTATTCCTAGGTGACTTGCAGTAGCTAATATTTTATGTATTTTAGATCATAATCTACCTATCTACATAATATTAGGTATGTTCTTAATTTTATCCAAATCCGACCAGCCGTTTCAGCGTGAAGGAGTAACGATTATACACACTGACGTCTGACACATAATATAAACTTGCGAATTTATCTATACATACCTATAACACAAAAGTAACAAAGCGAAATCGGTATATGAAATATTTGTTTATAAACAATGACTGTTACGTATAATACATAACAGTCATAATTGTGTACAGAATATAGACCCCAAGGCCCAAAACAATAGATATCGATTTTTTGTCTATTTGTCTGTAAATACCTATGGAACGTACGCGAACGAAGCAAGGGTAAGTAATTAATATGTAGTTGTCCGATGTTACTTTAAAAAATGAACTACAGGTGACAGTAGGATCAACCAGACCCCGACGCTGGCAGTCCTACACACACTACTGCTCCGCGAACACAACCGGGTAGCAGACATTTTGAGTAACCTTAACCCATTGTGGACGGACGAGAAATTATATCAAGAAGCGCGAAAAATAGTTATTGCTGAAATACAACATATTACATATCAAGAGTGGCTGCCTTTGAACTTTGGTAAAAATTTTGAATACATAGATTATTTTCGTTTGAGAGGCATTTACAGTTGTTTAAGACGAAGAAGTGTATCGATGCTGTAGAGATATTAGAGAATTTTGCAAAAAAGTCACTATACTACTACTCGTAGTCTGTTCCATTCAATCATTTGTTATTGCTACACTGGATACTTTTATCTATCTAAAATAACGTAGTTCAACTGTCCAAAAACAATAAAATAATTAGTAAACGATATTAGTAGTTTTAAAAATAGCCACTAGGTGAATCTCATCATTCTTAATAGAATAAGGCGTTTAGTTTCTACATTTAGAGCCTATCTCATCAATTTACTGCTTAGGCTCTACTTAGGTGTACAGGGCTGACGATATCATATAAGTTTCTTAGCAGAATGATCGTCTAGATCTCACAAAATGTTTGGCTTTCAAGGTCATTACTGAGCGATGAAAATTAAAAATACTTACTAAAATATTTTGGTATATTTATACATTTACATTATTATTTATGTATGTACATACTCATATTTATTTACTATTCAGGCGAAAGTTATCTCCGCTATTATCGCATTTCCCCAACCTCGTTGTATAGTCGTGATTATAATGAAGATGTTAACCCTGGCATCATCAATGGTTTCGGAACTGGTGCTCTACGTTTTCTACATACAGTTATACCCGACACTTTCATGAGCTGCCCGAAAAGTCAACAAGCTGCTTATTTATACAAGTAAGTGAATTATTTAAAAAAACGTTAAAAAAACGAATTAGACGATTTAAAGAAATATGACAAGATTTTTTTAATTTCAAACATAAAAAAATCAGTGAAATGGTTAGAAAAAATCCAAAAACACACATATCCTCTCATACAGTCCCTTTTTACCTCCCTTTCTCTACCTCTACTTTCATATTCATTCACATCCATACCTAAAATCCACTTGCTTACACCTATGATTTTCTTTCCTCCTCATGTTAGATAACACGATAACCTATTTTTTGAGCTTCTCTATCAATAGCGCGACTTACAAATTTTTATGATTTTTAAAATTATACCTACCACCAAAAAAATTGAGAAAATTGATTCGAAATTGGCAAAGATATAGGCATCACATGCCATAAATATAGACTAATTGAATATCTATTTTTTGAATTCGGTTAAAAATAACAGAAATCATGTCATTTAACACGTAATATACAAATCCAAAAGCTACGTTATAATATTTTTCAGGTTGAGTGATTATTACTTTAACCCAAGCCTCCTAGAAGCTCATACAGAGTCTTTCGACGACATCGTCCGAGGGATCGTGACGCATCGCTCAGGAGAATCTGACCCACATTGTACTGGAGAGATCACTAATTTGCTGTTCAAATCCCATAATAAATGGGGTTTGGATTTGATTGCTATGGACATTCAAAGGGGTAGGGACCATGGGCTAGGGTCCTATAATGATTATAGGTGAGTAAGTTCAAAGTACATAGAAGTGAAATTACAAAGATAATATCGGTTTATTTGTTCGTAGAGAACTAATACTATTTTTCAGAATGCAATGAAATGAATCAAAATTTTCTTGCAAGTTTCTGATATGGGTAGTACAACGGTTCGCAACGTCTTTTTGGTCTACCTAAGTTCACGCAGTAAATAGGAATTATAAGACAATAAGAGAATATTTTATTGACAGAATATTTTAAAATATATGCTATATTTCACATCACCATTTTAACATCGAAATAAACATTTTCCGTAATATAAAATTTTATAAACATAAGATTATTAAGATTACGTAAGATAACTGGTAATCATTTCCAACGTGATTACCACTTGTCTTACGGCGAAGGAAAACATCGTGAGGAAACCTTCACGGCTGAGAGAACCTAACAAGTTTTCGAAAGACATGTAAAGTCTGTCCGCACTTGGCCAGCGTTGTGGCTATGGCCTGATTCCCCTCGCATAGAAGGAAGGCCCGTGACCAGCAGTGCGACTATAAAAAGGGCTGAATACTATACAATAATATTATTATCACACAAATACATGATTTCACAGAGAAACCTGTGGTTTGCAAAGAGCAAGGACATTCCAAGATTTGGCTGGAGAAATATCTCAAGATGTAAGTTTTAAAAGCAATAATAATTTCTAGATTTCATAAGAAGTGACTGTCACGCCAGGTGATGGAGATAACAATTTAAGTACCTGCAGATATTTTTGCTGTGTAGTTAAAATAAATATGCTTAAGAAGAATTTGAATATATATTTAAATACATTTTATATATTATTATAAATGCAAAATGATTTGTGCTATCCCTGAATTGAAATGTAGAACTGTCATCTAGTTTTGAAACTGATGTGGAAATGATATTCCCGCAAATGGAAATGTCTATCTTACTGCTCATATAGCTTAAATTTCTTAACTACTAGACCAACATTTTCAGCGAATCAACGCATTATCTAAGTTTTATGAATCAGTAGATGATATTGATTTATTTGTGGGCGGAGCAATGGAGAAGGATGTCCCGGGTTCAATCCTCGGCCAAACATTCCAGTGTATAGTTGCTGAACAGTTCTATCGTACTAGGATTGGTGATAGATACTTTTATGATAACAGCGAGATGCCACATTCATTTTCTTCAGGTAAATATTTCTTGTTTATTTTGAAGATATTTTTGACGTTAGAATAAAACGCTCAATTGATGATTTTAAAATTAGTCAATTTTTTACAGTAGTTTATTTGGATGTTTTTAACATAATTTTAGAGATTCGATAAAAGCGGAGGTTTTAAGGAGTGACACAATCGATTACCTCTGGATATTGCTGAAGACAGCTACGTCATAGTTTCACAGGGTGACGTCTAGTCTAGTAGTTAGTAACAATAACTAAGTAGATATATATAAAAAGCAAGTCACCACGAGACTAAAAGCTAATTTTAATCCTAAAATTATGAATTTTAGTATTCTGTACCTAAAAAGGAAAAAAGGAATGCTTATAGGACCACTATGTTGTCTGTCTGTCTGTCTAGAGCCTTTATCTTAGCAATGCGTGGAGGTGTCAAATAGAAATTAATATCAAATACTCAGATCTGCAATCCCTTAGATTGGATCTGTGAAAAAGTCAAACTTCTAAGTTAACGCAATCCAAAGTACGGCCATTTACGCCGTATATTTTGACATCCGCAAGGGAATCAATACCTATAGAGCACTTCCGGTTGACCTAGAATCATAAAATTATATTGAATAAATAAGTCTTATACCACAAGTAATGGGAAAAATCCGAAAAACAGTAAATTTGTAGTTACATCACAAAATGGGGAAAAAAATGCTATTATAAACTTATTTTAATGTTTCATACTACGGAACCCATTAATCTGACTGTGATGAAATTCTGGTGGGCTATTCTGAATAAGCCTGCGAAAGCTCCTCGACAAAAAAAAAATTTTTGGATGTGTCTTTGTCTCTTAGGGACGCACGCGAGTGAATCGACGGTAAGTCGCTAGTAGTAAACAAACAAATATACTTATTTTTACAGATCAATTGAAAGAAATAAAAAAAGCGTCAATGGCTCGTCTTATTTGCGACAATACGGGTGTGAAACATATTCAAAGGAAAGCTTTCGAGTTGGAAAGCTCACACAACCCTAAGTATAGCTGTGATGACTACAACGCCATACCCTATGTTGACCTCACTGCATGGAAACGACCAAAGTTTGAAATAGATTGAAAAAAATATATAATTTATGTATTATTTATTAATTCAAACTGACCGAAAAAGCAAGAAGGGAAAGGAAAAATGCAATCTTTAATTCGATTGTGTTTTTTTGTATATGGCTATTAAATAACATATTAATAATAATATAATACTACCACTACTAAAATATTTATTTTCGAATTGTTGTCAGTTTAAATTTAAGTTATTATTAGCTATTACTATTGGGACTTAATCAATTCTCAAAATTTATTTATAATACATACAATGTTCAAGTAACATGATCCTAAACACAAATTGTGAATGTTATTCTTACGAATGTATAGAGATCAGTTGGTCTAACTTAATTATATTTATACTAATATTATAAAGAGGAAAGATTTGATTTTTTGTTTGTTTGTACCGAATAGGCTCCTGAACCGATTTAGATGAAATTTGGTAAGAAGATAGCTTGAGACCCTGGGAAGGACATAGAATAGTTTTTATCCCAGAAATCATCCCTTAAGGCGGTGAAAGTGGGGATGAAAGTTTACATGGGAAATAAACCTAGGGACAAACCTGAGCGAGGCGAGGGGAGTCGCTAGTAAACAATAGACTTAACTTTATATTCTACTTTAAGCGATTTAGTCTATATATACATATAAGTATTTTTAAGTTATGTATTAGAGGACTTTTAGTTAAACACTATATTTTATAAAATATTTATTATATCTTATAAAATAACATCTAAATAAAAGATTATATAAAATATACATTTTATTATTAATTTATCATGCTCATATTTCTTTATTTACCATGAGATAACATATTTAGACTAGACATTATAATAATTATAAATAAAAAATCTGGTGTATATGATGGGTTTATTTTGTAAGCTGTTTCGTAAGTTTTTCTTATGTTATTTAAAACACTAAATAAAATAAATGTTACAATGTAACTAATTAAATTACATTACAGCAATATATCTTACAAAATTTGATTAAGTATATATGTAGTCTGAGAGGATATTAGAGAGGCACAAATTTGATAATTTATAATTTATAACTAAAACTCTGTCTACACAAAAAAAATATAATTTATAATATTTTGTTGGACGTCATCAACAAATTATATTCGATTATACATACACTACAGACGCACACACACACACATACGTACATTTGTTTGTTGTCACTCTTACTCTGTTTCACTTCATTTTCAGGACACTAGCAATATAGTATATTTGTTATGTGTATATAATTAAATCCGATTCAGTTAATATATTTTACTGATAAATATTCACTCATTAATTTTGTAACAGCACTTATCTGCACTTATTATATTTGTATAAAAGTACTAAATAACACAACAGATCCAATAAAAAGTAGTAAAAATAGTTTTAAGCAAAATTACGTATATATACACATATACATACATACATATAAAGTTTCTTACCTCAATACATACTTATACTAAATAAGCAGATTTCTTCTTGGTTCTTTGTCTTTTCCCCAAAAGGAGAGTAGTTTATTTTGCATAGAATTCCAAGAAACAGAACTGCTTATTAATTGAGAAATATTTCCTGTATTGGGTTTAACTATTCTTTCTAATAGTGGCCGTCGGTAAAGCCTATGGGCTTCTTCTCTTTGATCGTCTGACACTCTTCTATCATCCAGGTGCAGGAGAGATGGGAACTGGGATATGACGAATAGCCTGCAATTATTATTATATTTATTGATTATACTATTGTAATCATAATGTTTTTTACTCTAGTGGGTATTTTTTTATGGCTGGTCATAGATTCGAATTAGGGTCAAGTAAAATTAATCATTTGTTGGGTTATCACACAAGTTTTTACTCAAGGTGTAGTTCAGCTCTCATGGTCTTTTTTCCTTATAAAATAAGTTATGTATTATATAATTATTAGGGATGCGCCGAATATGGATTTAACCGAATACGAACATTCGGCCGAATATTCGGTCCAAAATGTACCGAACCGAACATTCGGCGAATTATTTGGTTAATTTTTATGTATTAAACGTGTTTATACATGTCGTTATTTCTATTAACAGTGGTACAGTAAATGTACAAAAACTAACTTTTCTTTGTTGGAAAACAAAATGTTGATTTAAGTACATACATATATTAAAAACTAAATTTTGTTCATTTTTTTAAATATTTATGTTATTTTAATTTTTCAATAAATTATGGTTACGTAAGGTAGTGTGTGATTCATAGTATTCACATACTATGTATGTTTTAGTGTGAAGCCTTTTTTAATTTTTAAAATAATTATAAATCTTAACATAATACTATTTAAATATTCGGCCATTATTCAGCATTTTAACCGAATATTCGGCTGAATACGAACACAAAAAAAGACACCGAACATACCGAATACGAATATTCGGCGCATCTCTAATAATTATCAATAGTAAAGGTTAATTTTGAATTAAGTTTGAAAGTAATTTTTAAATTTGTAAAACATTTTACAAATTCATTTTAGTCATCACTTATATAGATTGTTTGAATGAGATTATCGTAAACAATTTTTATCTGTCTGTATGTACATGGAAGATATATGAGAAAAACTATTTTTGGGGATCTTTAGTAACACAATAAAACCCAAAACGATTATTTTTAGAATTTCTGTCTGTTTGCCTGTGCGTTTGTGTGCACTAATCTCAGAACGGGTTAACCGGTGTGGGTGCGGCTAAATACAAGCTTCATTTAACATTTAGTATTTGTTTTATTTGAATCGTTTCACAAATAAAAAAGTTATGTCAATTGTAAGAATCAACTAGGGACGCCCGAGCTAAGAGAGAGTTAGTTGTTAGTATAAGTATAATATAATATAAGAATACTGCTAGGTTTACCTATATTGGAGATATTCATAGAAAGTACCACCATTGAAGTAACTGGGAGCTGCTGGATTGCCCATCAATGATAGATACTGAAGGTTTGGACATGATTCTTTAAGTTTACCCACCCACGGGTATAGTGAAGATATCTTACAACGATTTAGCCTGAAAATAGTAACATAGTTTTTAAACATATTAAGTACATAAGAGCTTTATTTGCAAAAAATCTATCAAATCAAATATGCTATTGAATAAATTATTAATCTTGCAATATAAATATATTACATGAGCAAGAAGTATAATATCTTAACATCATTGTTACTTAAAAATTTAAAACAATCATGAAAATAAATTAATTTTAATATTACAATAAATCTTGATATAACATAATATTAAGAACAAGTACTATAACATACCATAATAATTGCAATTTAGGCAGAGGAGGCAACAAGCAGTTCTCAGTAATGGGATTATCATCTGCTATAAGGGTTGAAAGGTGCTTGAAGTAAACTAAGCCATCTAGGTTCCTGAAATAGTTTTAATTCAATAAATCTTTTCAAGGATATTTTAAATTAATTCTAATAAGTAAAACTTAATGTAATTATTTAATTATAAATTATAACAATGGAAAATAAATGTTAATGTGTTAAACAATTAACCAACTTAAATTAATTATAACCTTCGTAATATATTTAAATACTATAAATGCTAAAGTTTATAGTGTTTATAAGTCAAGTTAAATTAGCTCAGCGTCACAGAGGAGAGTAGTATGATCATAAAATTATGAAAAAACACAAACAACTTACGTTATTTTATTGTGGCTAATATCTAAATACTTTATGTGGTCACAGAATCTTTCCACTATTGTTTTTGGCAATTCATACAATCTTTCATAAGCTAAAGTTAGCTTTGTTGATTCATCTTCATTGTTGTCTTCAATACCCCTGTTTAGTTAAAAGTTTTTCATCATTTAATACTATTTAATGTTTTACTGAGTATATTACTTCGAATTAATTTTGCTTCAAATTTGGTAAGATTTAATTGTGACCCAAAATTGTTTTCTTTTTTTCATTTAAAAACAAAAAATATTTCAAACAGTGTTTCAAGTTATTGTTAATTTAAACATAATCAGTGCCTTTATTACAAAGTAAAAAATAGACTTACTGCATTAAATCTGGAGGAATAAAATTTTGCGTCATTGCAGTTAAGGAGTCAACAAGAATGCTGCTTGATAAGTCAACTGCAATCAGTCCCTCGTCTGAACTGGTTTTAAAAATACACGTAAGATAATAATCGTGAATATCAATATTAATTAATGTAATTTATTGTCAATGAATGAAGTGGCATATTTATTAAGTTTACTATTCAACTAATGTCTAGTACTCGATATATAGTAATACTATTAAGTCGAGTGCGCCTAGCTGTTAGCAATAAACACAGAAAAATATTTAGTGTTTACCTTAATTTTTAAAGATATACATATTGTAAAATTTAAAAATTAAATTACAAATCCTAATCCACATTCCACAATATGTCAAATGTCAATATGTAGGTAACAACAACAAAGAGTACTACAGAGTACAGACTATAGAAATTAGAAAAATACTTTTAATTTTGTCATTTGTTATGTAACAATGACGTAAAGTTATTTTGAAGCGAAAATAAAAACGAAAGCAAAAATTAAATGTGTATAAATTATTATTTACTAGCAGAACTCGCGGCTTCGCTAGGTTTCATACAAATTTTCGTCTCCTATTTTACAACCTCATAAGATGAAATTCGAAAAATGCTAAAACAAGTTTCAAGTAATTCTGATCAGAAATAAATTATTGGATTGTATTATAACGTGTTTTCCCGTGGGAATGAGATGATCTCTCGAGTTAAAAGTAGCCTATGTCACTCTCCAGCTCTCGAACTACCTTCACACCAAAAATCACGCTAATCTGTCACTCCGTTTTGACGTGAAAGAAAGACAAACAAACACACTTTCACATTTATAATATTAGTATGGATGTATGTATTTATTTTTCTTTATATTTTTATTAGACTTTTATTTTAAATATTTTGGTACCTAATTTAAACATAAGATAAATATTTTTTTTATAATTTAATATTATTCTTCAAATATATAAATAAAAATGAGTCACCGAAATGTATGTACTCCTGAGTAAAAGTTTTCTGTGTGTATGTACGCGCATAACTTCCGATCGACTGCATCACTGCACCAAATGGGGTAATTTCTTTTTTTTGTGTTTAATAACAAACACAAAAAAAGAATTAGTCAGGAAGTTTTGTATAGAAGAAAATTAAAAGTTTTTTTTTACTAAATTAAGATTTTTTTTTAATCTCATGATATGAAAAGTGAACGAGTGAAATGGTTTTTATCCCGGATATCATCCCTTAGGGGGGTGAGAATGGGGATGAAAGTTTGTATTGGGAAGCAAGCTAGGGACGAAACCAAGCGAAGAAACAATAAATAAAACAAACTTAAATACCCACGTATATTAGAATACCTGTCACATATGTGGCAAAAAAAATCTTTTTTAGTTAATTTATCACAATTTATTGATTTAAAGCACAATTCTGGTAACTATTAATATAAAGAATTCCTTAAATTTGTCTTGAAATGAAATCATTATTATTTTTCATAAAATCATGTAATGCTTCACAATGTTCATAATATAAACAGTAGGAAAATTTATAGAATATACATACTTACTCATTTTGCGTAGAATTTGGATACATTTCTTTTGAATTCTTTTTAATTTAAACCATAACATAAGTCACACAATCCTTTTCTTGTTTTTGTAGTTTTTTGCTCAACATCTATGAGCGTCGAAATGTGAATCATATTGATAATGCACGGTTATCAATAGGACTAGAACTATTGGAGGGAGAAGATAAGAAATTGTTTACGTATAATTTTGCACTAGTGACCTGTCTCAGAGCTGTGAGTTTATTTTTAAATGAGATATATTTAAATACATAAAATGTACTTCATTTAAAAGTGTTTAATGTATGATTAATTTATACTTTTACCATCAATCACAGCCATTGAGCGCAATGATAGTGTGTGCTTATCAATGCATGCAGCTCTATCACATAAATCAAGTGTTTCTTTCAATATTACAGTACAGATAGTATAGAGCTACATCAATTTAATAGCTTGTCACCTTTAGGTAACCTTTACATGTTGTTTTTGTATCATTAAAACTACATTATATCAAAAATGCAAAGTTGAGTGCAAACATTTTGATTCCAGACCTTATTTGACTGGACTAATAGAAGATAACGTCTAATAAATAAATACACCTATTAGCTGACATACTCTAATTTAAAGTGTGGGTAAATATTTAATTAATATTTACATTTTCAATAAGGTATGTCTGCAAAACAAAGATAGAGAATTTCAATTCAGGTTTATTCAAAGAAATCAACCCTTTTAAAAAACGAAATATTATTACCTATAGATATAATACATCTATACACACATAGGCAGTGGTAGCCTAGCGGTAACGCGCTCGTTTGGGAAACTGAGCGGGTTCAGATCCCGGGTTTCGCACCTCTGATATTTTCATATGTGAATCATTTCCAACATGATTACCACTGTCTTACGGTAAAGAAAAACATCGTAAGGAAAACTAAGTGTCTGAGAAAACCTGGCAAGTTTTCGAACAACATGTGAAGTCCGCCAACTCGCACTTGACCAGCGTGGTAGACTATGACCTGATCCCCTCGTATTGAAGGGAGGCCCGTGCTCAGCAGTGGGACGTTTAAAAGGGCTGAATACAATACAATACATACATACATACATAATTATAAAAGTGTAATCGCTTTCTGTAAATGGAAGGTATTTAAGAAAAAAAATAAAAAATGTGCAATTCCAACATCGTAGAAGTGAAACTTCAGAAAATGATATGAATATAGAGTATCAGGAGTAGGATAATCATAAGAATTTTTTTATATTATTTTTACCAAGTTTAAAAGTTATTTTACATTTTATTTGACATAAATATAAACATCACATAATAATCAGTAATGAATTTTATTATTTTTCACTTCCTGTGTAATGTATTCTATCAAATAACAACGGTTACCGTGACAACGGTTACCATGGCATCATCGCAATGTATTCTATCTCATTCTATCGCCGGCTTAATCCTATATATTTATATGTTTGTCTCTTTTTACTGTCGCATTTCCGTTGCATCGAGTTTCAAATCACAATGATTCTAAAGAAGTTTCACTTCAAAAATTGTTCGGAGTCTTTATTAACGTAATAGTACCTAAAAAAAAGATTTATACATTTTTTTTCACTGTGTGCCTTTGTGCGCGTAATTTCAGAAACGGCTTAATCGGTTCATAAATAAAAAATATGTCAATTTAAAGAATCACCTTGAGACGAACTTGAGCGAAGTGAGGGTGAGTCGCTATTTATAATATTCATGAGAACGTTAGTGTTGATAATGGTATTTTGTACATTTAGTATGAAAAGTAAGATTTTAGCTGTTAAGCTTTTAAAGTAATTTGCTCATAAAATTCACATTTTTAATTTTTATTTAAAATCATTTAACGAATTATTTCCATAGAAGATAATTTTGTTTTCTTTCAGAAATATTAAAATTATAAAGTTATCCAAAGCCAGAGGTTTCATGTAAATTGAATTGCTTGCAATGAGAAAGAATTTTGCCTTTTTCTTCCGCCAGATTTTGCGACTTCACTATATTGTAAAGCTCTATGGCGTAGATGGCAATTACATTATATTTAAAATTTCTATAAAATGACAAATTTTGCAATGCCAGAATGCAAAGAAAATGGATGTCATTTGTTCTCAAAAGAGAAAAACTGAAGAAATTGTGGGCTAAAACAAAAACACGACAAAAATTGGCGAAATCACAAACTTTATATTTAAGGCTATGTAGACACTATTTTACAGAAAGTGATTTTTTAAACTCTTAAATCGTCTGTAAGTGAATATTTTTTTTACTTTTTTACATATTAACCCGAGACTGAATGTAAATAGATCGTACGTGTAGCGCCTTCTTTTCAAGAAATCTCGCCCATCGCAATGTGACAATTTTTAAAATCTTTAATTATACGATTTCACAAACTGTTAAATTGTACAGATGAGGTTACCCAAGGTTACCTCAGCCTAATGTACAATAATTATGAGATTAGATTTTTATTGTCTACCAATATTTTTTTAGTAAAAGAAAAGAAGGCAACTTACTTAGTGCTAAACGTCAAAAACAGTTGTTACTTGTTGTTGGTTGACACGTCACTTTTATGGCATATTGAAATTTGAAATTATTTCAGAATGAAATAAAAAAAAAACATATTTTTAATACATTTCTATAAAACGGATACTAAAATAACTTTATCTCATTTATTTCTCACAATATTTCAAAAATGGATGTAAGTACTGTAGTAAGACTATTAAAACATACGTAGTGTTCTAAAAATCACAATACAAAATATCCATTTTTCAATTTTAGGAGAGTAATATTCCTATAGACATCAATATTGGAAAGCTGCAAGATTGGTTAGTCAGTCGACGTCACGTAAACAAGGAGTGGCAGAAGAATATCATTGGTGTTCGAGAGAAAATAAATAATGCTATTCAAGATATGCCAGCACATGAAGACATAGCTGCTTTATTATCAGGCAGCTATATTAATTATTTTCACTGTATAAAAATTATAGAAATACTCAAAGAGACTGAGGCAGATACTAAAAATTTGTTTGGTAGATATGGGTCACAAAGAATGAAGGATTGGCAGGATGTGGTGAAGAGTTACGAGAAAGATAATTTGTATTTAGCCGAAGCTGCACAGATGTTAGTGAGAAATATAAATTATGAAATTCCTGGGTTGAAAAAACAAATTGCTAAAGAAGAACAAATTCAAACTGTAAGTAAATAAAAAAGTATTTAAAAGTTAAAGTATACAAACTTATGAATAAAAATAACTATGTAAAAAATGTGAATAGATGTGTGAGCGTCGATATTAATTTTGTTTATATCACTACTTTATACAAATGTTACTATGAATATACAAATCTATATTATAAACTAACTCAGTTTCATCCCTAGGTATGTTTTAATGGTTAGTAAGGAATAGATAGACTATATAATATTATATGATATATAGCTGTAGAGCCTTCCACAATAAACAGTCCATCGAATGTAAAAAGATTTTATTAAATCGGTTTAATAGTTCTTGAGATTAGTACGTTCAAACAAACAAATCCTGCATCTTTATAATATTAGTATGTATTATTAGTAATACAAAATAATATTTTAAAAATATATTATAAATTTCTTCTTTTAGGAATGTGACAAAAAACATGCAGATTACTTAAAAAATGAGGCATCTAGTAAAACAGAATTTTTAAATTCATGCAAACAACTTGGCATTAAAGGAGATAAAATTAAAAAGGAATTAGTCGAAAGATTACAGGAGTTACCAGAAATATATGATAAGGTAAAAGTTGCATTAATTAAGTTTGTGTTGTTTACCTAATTAAGAGTAATAAAATAAACAAATTAACAACAATCAAATTTTTTAAAAATAATGACCTCTTATTAAAAAAATTGACTTTTGATTAGTGCCAGTGATTATATCTATACCAGATTTTAAGCACATTATTACATTTTTATGCATGTAGAAGCATACTTTTCATAAAAGTTTCACTCTATATTTAGTTTTTAAAGAAAATATTATTCCTGAAAACAATTGGTGAGAATCTGTTTTCGTAAAAACTATAAATAAAGATTGAGGTTCAATAACCTCATATTAAACACCAGAAGGTGTATGGGGAGAATGATATGATTTTTGTTATATATGTTACCAGTGGTAACGCGCTCGCTTGGGAAACCGAGTGAGGCGGGTTCAAATCCCGGGTCTCGCACCTCTGATATTTTCATGTGCGAATCATTTCTAGCATGATTACCACTTGCCTTACGGTGAAGGAAAACATCGTGAGGAAACCTACATATCTGAGGGAACTTTGCAAGTTTTCGAAAAATATGTGAAGTCCGCCAACCCGCACTTGGCCAGCGTGGTGGACTATGGCCTGATCCCCCCTCGTATTGAAGGGAGGCCCATGCCCAGCAGTGGGACGATAAAAGGGCTGAATACATGTTATATACTATATTATTGTAGATAGGGAAATCACTGAAGCCACTCAAACCGGCTATAGAGCTGTACAGTGCTTTCGTTAAGTACATTCTTGGAGAAGCATCAGAAGTTCTCCCTTTACTCCAATATGTGGTTGAACATGGCAACACTACTGTTTATGAGTGGACATATGGAGAGCCACCGTTGAGTGTTGAACCAGATCCTATTCATATTGAAGTGGAAGACGAACAAGGGGCTGGAGATCAGGTATTGGAATTAAAATTATATATTACATACTAGCAACTCAACCTCCCTTTTTTATTTATTTGGTAATCAAACAGCGTTACAGTATTAATTAAGATTGCACATTGTACACAAAGGAGAGTTACAATAAGGCCAAAATTAGATTACACTAAAAATACTATAATAATGAACAACAGGCATCAAAATGGTAAAATAAAATGTAGATATTCAAAAGATGTTTTAGATCTAAAGATAATATCTATTATGTTGGTGCAAAGGTAAAAATATAAAGGTGTATGTGTGCGTGTGTGCTTGTGTGTGTGTGTGTGTGTGTGTGTGTGTGTGTGTGTGTGTGTGTGTGTGTGTGTGTGTGTGTGTGTGTGTGTGTGTATGTGTGTGTGTGTGTGTATGTGTTTGTGTGTTTGTGTGTTTGTGTGTGTGTGTGTGTGTGTGTGTGTGTGTGTGTGTGTGTGTGTGTGTGTGTGTGTGTGTGTGTGTGTGTGTGTGTGTGTGTGTGTGTATTGTGTGAAGTTGTGTGTGTATGCTCAAATAATAATTTCTATTATTATTACTTAAAATAAACAAATCAATGACTGCTCACGTATTATGACTTAATGGCTATACTTCTTTTTTTATCTCTTTTTTAAAGACTACTTCAGATAACTTAAATATATCCAAATCAGAGTATTGTTCATTATAAATTTTAACTGATCGCGTTAAGATGGTATTTTTGGCATATTGGGTTTTAGTAGGAGGTACATATAACAGGGTGTATGGCGCGTTCGCTGCTTTGGAACCTGAAAGGATATGTTTGATAGGAGTTCAGGGCATACAGTCTTATTGTCTAATATTGCGTGCAGCAGTTTCATATCGCTTTATGCTCGTCCACTTTCGAGTGTTTCTATATGATAATATTCATATGCATCACGATCTGTATCAAAAATTTTGTAATTTTTAAATTGTAAGTATTTTACAAATACATTTTGAATTTTTTCGATTCTCTGTATATCTGATTTATGATAAGGTGACCAAATACTACTGGCATATTCTAGTAGACTTCGTATGTACGCAAAATAAAGCATTTTGATACATTCTATATTTTTAAAACTAGAGAAAAACATTTGTCCCTAGTGAAAAACAAAAAAAAATATCCCACCGGAACCATACATTTTTCCAGGATAAAAAGTAACTTATGTGCTATTCCAGACTATAATCTATCTGTGTGCCAAATTTTATCCAGATCCGCTCATCCATTTTGCCATGATTGAGTAAAAAAGATCCATCTAAACTTGAGATTATATACATTTTCAAATAAGTATAAATAAGATTCTGTGTTTGAAATGGTTTAATAATTATTAACAGTTTTATATAAATAAATTTGACTTTGCCAATTTGAAGCTGTTCTTAAATGTTCTTAATACATTTAATAAAATAGTATTTAAATGAATTTTTGACATCCACAATAAATGAACATTATAATACTTAAAAATGCAATTTGTTATTATTAAAAGACAATACATATTGTTATTACATATTATATCACATTAATTTCTCTGAAGAGATTTTTTACTATGTGTCTTTATTTTCAGATTGATTTTGGAGATAATGAAATAGATTTTGGGGCAGATGCGGCTGGTGAAATAGACTTTGGTGACGGAGATGGGGGCGGGGAGATTGATTGGGGTAATATTGACGCTGCTGGGGATGAAGTAAGACATTATTTATCTTTATACCAATATACAGTAAGTAACCTATAAATGGAAAAAGGACCAGTTATTGTGACTTGACATATAATAATTTAATTTTTATAAAAAGTTACACTGACTCCAAAATCTCCGCATGTGAAATCTTTCCTTTTAAATTACAGTATTCAAATAAATTTAGAGAAAAAAAAAATATTTTTTTTAATTTCCCTTATGTGCTCTCTGTTTATTTATATATTGTTTTGTATTTTTTGTATTTTATAAAATTGGGAAATCCTATAGCACAAATAATTCAATTTCAGAATGTAGCAGTAGATGTAGCGGCCATATCGTTAGAAGAGTCGGGCATCGTGGTAGAGGAACAGGGCTTGGGCGGAGGGGTAGCGAGAGGGAAGGACGCACTCACACTCTTAGATAATACACTCACTAGGAACCAGTTCATTGATCAACTGGTCGAGGTATGTTTTTTATTTGCTTGGCAACTTAATATCAAGTTACTTTTTTTACTTGGCTACTTTGTATGACTGTAGGTATAGAGGTCCTGAGTTTGAATCTTGGGTCGGGCCAAGTATATTCATTGTCGTCGTCGGACTTTAAGAATCTTCTTCTTTTTCTCGTATCGACGGCAAGTTTTAAATTGAGCCTTAAACTTAGTAATTATTATTGCTGTACTAGTAGCGTAAATAACCTCCAGGTGCAGGTAATAGGGCGAGCAGGGCATGCTAGTAAATGGCTCAGGTCACCCTCCGCCAATCCCCCGAACAAGTTTTCAAGGATTTCAGAATGATAGGAGTGCTTACAGGAATTTAATAAATGAGAAGTATAATATTATTTTCATATTTTGTCTAATAATGAAATTATTTGCCTTTTGATGGTTTCATTAGTGTTATCATTTGGAAAATTTGATTACTTACAGCAGCCTATGTATTACTTTAGATGGTGGTGTGGAAGGATTTTGATGAAATTTAATGCATAGATAGGCAATAACCAGGAACATTGCATAGGCTACTATTAAGCACTTTAGTGCGATACCAAATAAATCACTCCTCACAGTGTGTCTGTTAATAAAATTATATTCCTCCACAGCTAGAGTCTTTCCTCAAGATGCGTCTCTACGAGACAAACGTGTCGTCAGACAGCCTCAGCTTCTCACTGTCAGAGCAGCTGCCGTCCGAGAGTGTGGCAGCATTGGCCGCCATGCAGGAAGCCGTGCATGCTGCTGCATCAGCTCTCACCAAGACGGAGATCACTCATCTGCATAATGTGAAACACTCGCCCAGGTGAGATGAAATAGGTTTCTGGACAGGTTTATGTTAGCACCACACAGGACACGATGATAGTGTGAACTGTGAAGCACTCGGTTAGGGAGGGGTTAGATGGATTAGTTTATGTTAGGACCAAACTATTGACGTATTACATATGCTGGAACCACACTGAGGCTGAATGCTATTATGTGGGATCCACACTAATGATTAATACTATTATGCCGGGCCTACACTAAGGTTCAAATGCTGTAATGTGGGCCTACACTATGGCTGAATGCTGTTATGCTGGGATCACATTAAGGCTGAATGCTGTTATGCTGCGACCACACTATGGCTGAATGCTCTTATGCGGCGACCACACTATGGCTGAATGCTATTATGCTGGAAACATACTAATGCTTAATGCTGGACCGTACTAAGACTGAATGCTTATGTTTGGCCCACTTTAAGGATAATTGCTGTTAATTATCGCTTTAATCCCTCAACGACCGCGGACACGCCGATGTTACAGTTAACAATAGATTTCTTAGAAATTTAATTAATTTCTTAGAAATTTACTTGGAGGTTTTAATAGATGTTAGCTATTATGCTAGGGCAACACTAACAAATATTATATTATTAGGTCAATAGACGTTAGGTATTATGCTAGGTCCACATTAATACTGAGCAGTATTCATTTTTACGTTAGTAGACGTTAGATATTGCTGGGAACATACTAAGGATGATTGCTATTATTTATTAATTGAATAGTTGTTAGGCATTATGCCACATCATGAAAGATTGCTGTTTTTTATCTCATCTACACTAATATTGTAAAGAGGTAAAGTTTGTTAGTTTCTGACGTTGTAGGGAGTAATCTCTGGATCTACGGAACCGATTTAGATGAAATTTGGTAAGAAGATAGTTTGAGGCCCTGGTAGGGACATAGGACTATATAGGACAGGGTTTTTGTTCCGCAAATCAGCCTTTAAGGGGGTGAAAATGGGGATGAAAGTTTGTATTGGAAAGGAAGCTAGGAATGAACCCGAGCGAAGCGAGGGTGACCGCTAGTAAAGTATAAATCCGACGGCTTATCACTAAATCCGTCTCGAAATGAGACTAACGGCCATAACCCACTCCCCAGATACGTGGACGTGCTGACAGCACAGCTCCAACAGAAGCTGGCCCTGTGCGCCAAGCTGTCGGCGCGCGCGGCGCGCGAGACTGAGCGCCGCGCCGCCGCCGCCGCGCGCGCCGCCGCCGCGCGCCCGCAGCTGCAGCGGATTGTGGACCGCACTAAGGAGCTGCAAGCTAATGTAAGTGTTCTCTGATCCATATATTCAGCCCTTTTTAACGTCCCTCTGTTGGGCATGGACCTCCAAAATAAATTATTTCAATAAGATTAAAAAAAACCTAAATTAATTATTTTTTTAAATCTTATCGAAATAGTTATTATTATCGATATAGAGGCCGAATATATAGTTTTTAGAATTTGTGTCTGTCTGTCTGATTGACCGCATCTCGGAAAAACCATTGGAGGGATTTTGATGAAATTTGATATGGTGCTGGTTATCCGGGTCAACATATAAGATACTTTTTACTGCGGGAAAATACCTCATCTCTAAAAATCTATACTAAACGTTAAAACGTACCTAGGGACGAACCCGATCGGAGCGAAGGGTCGCTGGTATTATATAATTAAGAAATAAAAAGAGATGGGATGGATCTTGTAGTTTTTTTGTTAGAGAAACTGTCGAAAATGAACATACTATCATTAATTTTACACTTATTCCTTTATTTACATTTATCATTCATGTTACATGATCCTTTTTAACGACTTCGATTGTGAACCGATTGATTTTTAATGATATTTATGATCTTGTTTTCAGATTGAAAGTGAAATTTCAAAGAAATACAAAGGTCGACCCGTCAATATTATTGGTGGAGTGAAATTCTTATAAATGAAGTGAACTTTTTATAAATGTTGACAAATTTTGTTACAAATTACAGAAATTTTATCAGAATTGCCTATTTTCTTTATTCCTAATTTTTAAACCTTATAATTAATGTATCAGTATGAATGTCACAGGAATAATAATTTACGCAAAGATTAAAAAATAAAAAAGAAAAAGGTATGTATAACAAAAAAATAAAAATTGAAAATTATATCATGAGTTTATTTTTATCCGTAAGGATAGTAAAAGTAATAATAGGGATAGTAATAAGGATAGAGATAGTAATAATAAGGATAATAAACATATGGGTTGCAAACAAATTTCGTGTCCTTGTTGATCTCGGTATTTACGCACTCGGGTGACGTCTGCGCTAGATGCGCGCTCTTTATTACATTCCAAATAATTAATAGCACAATAAGTGATATTTGTTTATGTATAAAGATAAACATCTGAAAATGAATATAATTGCTTAATATCTATACATACACAAAACCCACAAATAAAATTGAGTTTCTGTTTGTAATTTCAAAATAATAGCTATTTTACTAAATGCATATATAAGTATAGTATTTGTAGCCTTGTTTAAAACTTGAGCATATGTTTACTTTTTTATAATATATAACCTTTTATAGTTCATAATTACTAAAATTCAATTAAAATAAAGGTCTGTTTTATTTATAAAAATGTTCCTATAAAAGTCTCTTACTATCTCATACTCTTTTCACTTTTATTATTTTTACACTAAATATTATCTTTAGTATTTTACATCTACAAATAGATAAACTAATAAGGAAACAAAAACCGTTTACGGAACTAAGGTACGTGGTCTAGAACTTTTTTTTTGGTAGTCATGTATAGTCGCTCATCGTGGCATTTTTTACGTAAACAGTAGCGCGGGAGGGGGGGGGTCACCTCTTCATATATTTTTTATAAAGAAAATAATATTTGAGGTCTTCAAGGGGTTAATAACATAAAAAAATATTTGGGGAGTAGATTATGTCGTTCCCATACATTTTTTAATATTTCTAATATAATCGAATCTATCAGCGATGACACCAAAGTGTTAGTTTGGTATTTTTGGTATAGAATTTTCTGCAATTTTTTTAACTTGCAAAGAAAAGTAAATCTATTTCGATACGTTACTTTGTATATTATAACCTATTACAATTTCATATCTTTAAAGCATTTGTCGGCTGGCACCGGTTTCGAAAATATCTGATTAGGTATATAGTAAATGAAAACCCCCGTTCAGTTATTTTTTATTTTTTTAGTGTCAAAAGAAGTCGATTTTTTTTACTTAAATCATTATTAAACCGTCTTTATTAAATTTTACGGTTACTGAAGAGTCCAAACGCATTACGCGACTGCGATCGAGACCATGGCGCATTCAACTATTTAGTTATTATATATGTTAATCGTAATCGCGTGTTAGTCGTGTAGTGCACGTTATTTAAAATAACATAATGCAAATAAAAGGTCTCTGATGATAATGATCGTGGTTGTGATCACTTATTGCAATATGGTAAATTAATATAGTAGGTTAATGGTATCGGACTGACGGACGGAATTGAACCCCTGACCTTATGTCGTATGGTATCGGACATTACATATTCATTAGATGCATACTTACTTTCAAAAAATCCATTCATATAAAAAACTAGTAACAAAGCGAAATCTCTCAATGAAATATTTTTAAAAACAATGACTAACGTCTTTTGTACTCGAACAAAATATACACCGCAAATTAATTTTGTCTGTTTGTCTGTATGTCTGTGTGCATTCAAGCAAAAACTACTGAATGAATTTTAACGAAATTTTGTGTAGCGATAACTTATTACTCAGGTCAACTCGGGTCAATTTATAGGAGTAAATGTATTTCTTAACATTTAAAAAAATATAGGGACGCACCCGAGCGAACGGAGAAGAATTCTCAAGTACCTATGTAATAAATATGTAGATAATTCAATTTCTATACCTTATACTTATTCTTCCTTTATTCGTATAAGTTTTGTATTATCAAAGACATATGCACTACAGTTAGCTACTCTAATTTGACTTCTTTTTTTGACGTTATCTTTGAAATTACTTTTTAAAGTGGATTTTAATTGATTTTTCAGTAGAAGCGAGCGTAAAAATTGGCTGCTTGATATTATAGTGTCATGTACGATGTTTGAAATCTATTATATAAAATGTAGGTATTTGAATTCTTTAATTATTAGGAACATTGTCTCTCCTTTTAATAGGTAAATATATAATTTCATAAGAAGTTATTTTTTTCGTTTAAGTATAAGTACTTCTCAATTAGTAAAGATAGCACGAATAAAACTAATGGTGTCTTTAAGGCTGATATAATGGTTTGTGACTTAATTAAAATAAAACCAATAGTAAAATTATTATTTTTTTATTTGTTTTGATAAAATATACATTTTTATATCTTATCGACGACAATAGACGACAAAATCGTCTATTTTAACGACAATTTATGTAAAACTTGGATTCTTAATAGCAGCGTTTTACCTGAAATAAAACGCTTATTAAAATACTTACCTAACTGGAAGCTTTATATTGAGAGAGCATTTCCGTTTCCGTCGTTAAAGTACCAGTTGACGTACTTTTATTCACCTTAAAACCGGCAGTAGGTGGCGCCACCTGGCGTTCGCGCGCCCTTTGAGGTTTTCTTGTAAAATCGAGCGCCATTTTAATCTCATTGGCTTTATAACCACCAGGCAGAAATTAAAGTGAAAGCTTCCAGTTAGGTAAGTATTTTAATAAGCGTTTTATTTCAGGTAAAACGCTGCTATTAAACAACTTGACCGTAACTGGAAGCTTTATATTGAGAGTCTGTTTGTTTTCGCCTGGTGGCGCAACCTACTGTAAATTACGGCTTATTTAAATTAAAACGCCAATGTGAATAGAATAGAAGTAATTTTAATCAAAAATCAGAATTTACCATAGAATATAAGTATTATTAGATATACTAATCACATTCTACATGAAATAGATTCTACATTTTTAATTTATTGGTGAAAATAATTGTGTTACATTTCTGGATTCAATGTTTCTTACTACTTCACGTTTGTAAAATTTATGAAATGTGTTAGCTGATCGCCAATTGCCTCTAGCTAGGATATCATCGACAGAAGCATTATCCAACCAACTCTTAGAGGCGACTGCAGACCGAACACTTCCCGGTGTAGATGTGATACCAGCATCTCGGAGTATAGTTTTTACCCAGCCTGCTATTACAGTGCGTGATGCAGGTCTAGCCATTCCTCTTACTGTAATAAAAAGATTAAATGATTTTGCAGTATCGCGTCTTTCATTTAATACCGCAATAGTTTTATTTATCCAAAAAACCGGATTCAGATTACAGTTACGAGGATTCAAAAGAAACCTCCAACTGGACTGCCTATAGTTATTACTATCTGTTTTTGAACCGAATTCAGGAATTAACGTAATACTGTCAGTACTTTTTATGAGGTGATCGGGATCAATTCTTAGCAATGTAAGGTCATGTATTCGTCGCCCAGAGCATAATAGTAATAAAATAGCCGTATGACGCGATATTTGGAATATGTTATTTAAATCTACTGTGTAACTTGCTAAAAATGATTCTAATTTATCTATATCCCAAATAGGTGCTTTAATATGTTTTGGATTTTTTAAAGCAATTGATTTCAATATATGTTTTACTAGCACGTGTGAACTTAACTTACTTGATGTTTCAGAGTTACATAACGTCGATACTACTGATTTGTGTAAGAGTATAGTATTGTAAGATAATTTATAAATTAAATATAAATCTGATAAGAATTGTGCTAACTGGGATCCATTAGGATTTATTGGATTAACGTTATTCTCTTTAGACCATGATACCCAACGATTCCAAGCTACTTCGTATGTTTTCAGAGTTGATTTACGCCAAGAACTTTTAAGCAATGATAATTGTTCAGTATTCCATGATTCTATGGCGTCAGCCCACCCCCACATTTCCAAACTTCCAAAAGAATGTGTTGAACCTGTGGTGGTGGCAGTCCCGTTGACGTATCTATTAGATGTTTGTGTAAATTGGTTAACGTTAACGGTGGTTCGAGCGCTCGAGCTTTGACGTCTGCTCGCCAGAATACTCTCTCCCAACGGGGGACAACTATTAGAAAAGCTCCTATTGACTGATTCAAATGAGCCAGTACTCTGGGAATCAGAAATGGTGGTGGAAACACCCATGCCAACGGGTAGTTCCATGGAATACTGAACGCGTCGTGAAATAAAGCTTGATGGTCTCTCAAATCTAGGGATACATAATTGTAAACTACATGAGCAGTTTTTGAGGCAAATAAGTCTATTACCGGGATTCCCCACTTCGCAAAGACCATTTTCACACAGGCCGGTAATAGGTGCCACTCGGGAAGCTGACGATGACGCGATAGCTGATCGGCTTGGTTGTACTTGCCTGGAATATGGTGTATTGTGAAATGTATTTGATATTGATCTAATAATGCCATAATCTGATAGGTTATGTTCATAAGGTATTTGGATTTCGTACCTCCTTCTTTCCGTAACTGAGCGACTGCTGTCTTGTTGTCGCATTGTATTAGGACTGAGCTGCCCTGCAAGGAATGAGCTTGATTCTGAAGAGCATGTAGTATGGCTAGCATCTCTTTCTGGTTGGAATGTAGATGTTTTTCCTCTAAAGACCAGTTGCCCCAGAAAGCTTGATTGTTTATTTGTGCTCCCCATGCCACGTCCGATGCATCGGTTACTAGAAAGTTCACTGGAGGGGGATAATGTAATGGTGTTGTTAACTGGCAATTCTGAATCCACCAGCTCAGTTCGCTGCACACACCCTGTGGTAGAGGGTAGGCTTTGGATGATTGTTTTGGTATTGTATTTAGAAACATTAACATTTGTCGATGTTTGAGTCGGCCCCGTGGAACTACAAAACTGGCAAAATTTAGGAGCCCTACTATTCTTTGTAATTGTTTTAGTGTCGCTTTCCCTAGCCCTAGCATCAGATTCAGTTCTTCTTTTATCATGATTATTTTTTCGTTTGGCAAAGCTTTTAGATTGATCCAGGGTTTCCAAATTATTCCTAAGTAATTTATACTCTTCTGAGGGACTAGTATTGATTTTTCCGCGTTTATGTGCCATCCTAATTTTTGTAATAATTGTATTGTGAGTTTGACATGATTTAAAAGCATTTGAGCGTTTTGATGTACTATTAGATAATCGTCCAAATATACTACTATTCTGACATGCCATCGTTCTCTGATTGTTTGAGCTATCCAATTCGTTAAAATTGAAAATGTTTTTGGAGCTGTGCTCAGGCCGAATGGGAGGCAAGTCATCTCCAATAATTCTTGATTGTAAATGAGGCGTAGAAAACGCCTTTGAGACTCTGCTATTTTTAGATGAAAGTATGCTTGAGATAAATCTATTTTGCACATCCAGTCCCGCGGTTGAAGAAAATTTGGTATTTTGTGCATGTTTATCAAGTGAAACGGTTTGGCCAATACATATTCGTTGAGTGCTTTGAGGTTGAAGATGGGTCGGGTTGTTCCGTTGGCTTTGGGTACGAGAAAGAGAGGGGAAACGAAACTGGGTGTGTATGGTACTGCCACCAGAATGCCCTGAGATTTCATTTTTTGCACTATTACAGACATTTCTTCTGAGACCGGAGTTTGAAATGGTCCTTTCAATAGGTTTGGATAAATAAGGGGTGGTTTTTGAAGAAAGGGTATGCGATAACCTTGAATCAGTTTTAAAATTACTTTTGGTGCTCCCATTTTCACCCATTCCTCGTAATAAAGCGCTAACTGACCTGCTCGAAATTGTTTCATGTCATTGTTTTTTATTGAAATTATGTCCGCCTCTGGTAATTCCGCGAGAATTTCCACGGCCTCTAATACTTCCACGACCGGGCCGCGAGCCTCTGTTTTGAAATGACCCTCTGTATTGGTTGACATTCATAGGGTATTGAGGAAGCTGATTATTATAATATATTTCACCCCGCGAGGGTGGATTGTTACTACCATGCAAGTGCATAGTAGTTTGATTATTTTGTTCATAGCAATTACATTGAGCTCCACGCGATGGAACTATAGATTTTCGTATATTCTGCCCCCGCGAGGGGCGGTGGTTCATTTGGGTTACCCTTGCTTGCGAAGGTACACTATTTTTTGGAGGCCAAAAAACTTTGCGGACCCCACCAGATTTTTCTATGGCTAAAGAAAATGCTTCAGAATCAAATAAATGCGTCGTTGATGGTGGGATTTTATTCAGAGATGTTCTTACTAAAGGGTCGCGAACCTGGCTTGTGATTGTTTCACGACGCATCTCAATACTTTCAGCCCTATGGCCACATACTAATTGTAATAGGTCGGATGAAATTTTAAACAAGTCCCCTTTTAAAAATAATTCATCCACCTTGTCACCTAAATTATCAACATTAATCGAATTAGTATTCTTTGCCCAAGAGATAAGATTTCGAATAACTTCCTGTAGTGAAATTTTTTGTTTTAGTATGCAATATGTTATAGCAGCATAAGCTTTATCGGCATACGCAAGATGACGTAAATTGTCAAACATTTTAACTTCATCATTTGTTTCCAGGTCTGTGAAACCTGGAGTATGATTATAGAGTTTTTGTGTTTCAGCGTATCTTACATCAGACCATGAGGTGCTACCAAATCTTTGGACATCCGACAACATTTTTAAATAACTGTCAGGGGTTTTAGGAACAGAAGGTTCCTTTAATTTAGTTTCTATTTCAAAAGAAAAACTATTGTCATCTCGGTCATGCTCAAAATCGAGTTGCTCGCATAGCTCTTCTTGGTCTGGATAAATTGACACACTATCTTGCCATGTTTTATCATTATTATTCAAAGAAACAATTTGTCTTAGCTCACCCATTTCCTTCAATAGTTTATCCATCCGAGGGTCTGTACGTTTAGCTCGCTTGCTTTTCTTATACTTACGTCGTCGGTTCTTTCGTCTGTCATCCGACGACGAGGATGAACTCGAAGAGCTGCTAGTAGTACTACTAACAGAGCTTTGTTTTCGTTTGCGTGCCTCTCCACTAGGACCCGCTACGGCCTGTGCCTCGAAATTACTAGGTTCCTCATTCATTTTGCGTATAAAATTCGCTTTATTCGATTTATCACTTTATTGTTTATTCCAACGTTTTGGAATATTACTTTAACATTTAATAATTATTTCACAATTTTTCGCAAGACTTTAGTAGTGCTTAATGTAAATATGTTGTTCCGACGAAAACTTAAACGCCAATGAGATTAAAATGGCGCTCGATTTTACAAGAAAACCTCAAAGGGCGCGCGAACGCCAGGTGGCGCCACCTACTGCCGGTTTTAAGGTGAATAAAAGTACGTCAACTGGAACTTTAACGACGGAAACGGAAATGCTCTCTCAATATAAAGCTTCCAGTTACGGTCAAGTTGTTTAATGAATTAATATTAACAATGTATTTACATATTTATTTCAAGTAGGTACCTGGTACCATAATACATTTATGTTATAATACTTTCTTAAAGCTAATGGTAACAAAATAAAAGTTTAAGATATAAAAAAAAATGAATTGAAATTATTATACTGAATGTATGCCTTGTGGTATAGTGAAAGTCAAAAACCTCGAAGAATTTCCCTAAAATAAAATGTAATATTAAAAAGTGATTAAAAGTAAAAAAAAAACAAACTAAAACTTAAAGACTACTTTTAACAGTCGTTTTTTAACATTGACAAAAGAAAAATGAAATCTATGCTAAGCAGATTTTTCTATCATTTATAAATTACTCACAGTACAAAAAAAACATAAACAAATCAAAAAATCTGATGTATAAACAAAAAATTTCAATTACTCTACAATTATTCAATTTATTCTATTCTTAATGGCTTTAAAGTGTGCCAGTTGAGATTTACACATTTATATGTCAGATTATAATGTCAGGTAACAGAAGAGAAAGAAGACAAGATAACTTTCATTGAAAAATTAGTTTTTATTTAAACATTAAAATATTCTGGATCAATCTCAGAGGGTCAGACCTACAGAAGGACTTGCCTCTAGGACAAGAATACCTTCTAACGCACATAGCAAACCGTCTGTCACATTCACACAATCTCGCGGCACAACCGTTTATAACTTGATTTCTAGTGTGATAGTTTTCTAAAGCACAGTGCGGTTCTCTATTAAAGCATTTCCAGTAGTACGGTTGTAAGTAAACACTGTTGACGGGACAGTAGACGTCGTCGTAGCATTCGTCGTGCAGGCGGCAACAACTAGGAAATTTTCAGTTCTGGAGTTCTATTCCGTAAAAGCTTTTAGTGTAACTCGATAGCTGAATCCGCTTCATACTTCATGAAGTATAATCGCGGATTCCGATGTCGTGTTACGCAAAAGTTCTTAGAGAATAGCACTAAGGATGTGCTATTGATGATATTATGTAGGTAGTATGTAGCATTATCCTTATAATATTAAGATATCAATGACTTTAAGTAAATAAGATATTATATAAAAGTGTCAATAAAAAGGTGCACTGTCTCGCCTTTTGAGTATCTTTATTTTCACGCCTTGTTTATTTTGGCCTCAAGTTCATGTATCTATAGCAAGACGACCTTCTTTCCATCTCTTAGTTCGTTTTACATACTAAATTTACAAATGAGGTTGAAACATTATATATTTAATAATTGAATAGGTAATAAATGTATAAGCAACAGATTTCTCACTTATCAATCCCGTCAGTAGGTCTCCCTGAGCCGAGGAAGCCGCAGTAGCAGCCGTACCCCTTGTAACTGATAGGGTCACATCCAGTCGCGCACGTCAACATGTTGTACAGGTGGAGAACACCACGCTTCCCTCGCTCCTTGTTAGAATATTGACTTTGGTTTATTGCTCTGAAAATATTTAATTCAAATTTACCTACTACCTTAGTACCTGACCCGAAATGTTCTGTCTGAATTTCACTAAAATTTATAATTTTAGACCTTTAATTTTTTTATAAAGAAGCACTTTCAGTTTCTTCCAAGTTTTCCGCGCAACTTTTCTCAATTTTTACCCTAAAAACTTTCGCAAAATCGGTCAAGCCGTTTTCAAATGATACGATTACAAACGGTCAGCATTTCATTTTATTTATATAGATTTAAATATTTTGATTACTATCAGAGTGTTAAAAAGCCTCTCATCGGACTAATGTATAAAGGACACACATACTTTTCATTGTCCATTATATATGAAAAGTGAAAACGTTTTGATTTTTTTGAGCGGAACCCCAATTCTTTTTCTAAAGTAAAAGTAGCCTATGTTACTCCCTATAACATTAGCTATCTTCCAGTGAAAGTTCTGTCAAAATCAGTCCAGCTCTTTCAGAGATTATCCGGAACAAACAGACAGATAGACGGACAAAAATTAAAAAAAAACATGTTTTTCTTATAAGTACCGTATATAATTTCATATGCATTTAGTAAAACGCTGTTATTTTGACACTACAAACAGAATCTTCAATTTTATTTATCTGTATAGATTGGTCAAGGAGACATTAAATTAAAGAGTCTCAATAGAAATAGAGATTTCCAGAAAGAAGTCTCAGGGAGAAAATTGACTTTAAATCTAAAGTCAAGAAAAAGAGCATTATAAATAACAGCAATTACCTTACTATTATTTTGTTTATGTGTGTGTATAGAGTAACCATATTAGAAATGTTTTGCACATGAAAATATCAGAGGTGACCTGGGATTTGAACCCGCTCCACTCGATTTTTCTAGCGAGCGCGTTACCACTGCGTTACTACTGTCTCATCACTTGAAGCAGTAGTACTATTATTTTGCTTTTTTTATTATTATATGTATATTTATTATTTATTTATTTTTATATACATTTTTTTTTACCTTACTCCTCTCATGTAATCAGCTGCAGGTATCGAATATCTGAAGGGATCATGCGCGAATCCCACCAACAGACCGTCCTTTTTGTTTTCATACTTATTTCTATTGAACTCGTCATTTTCTTTGGGGTCTGTCCTATGGCTATTATTGTTCTTAGAGTAAAATTTCGGGTCTAATTTTATGCTATGATCAAGTTGGGCATAGTTGGTACTGTTGTAGATGTAGTCGTATATGAGAGGTTGGGATGAATCTGCAAATATTTGTTTGAAATTAGAAACACAAAATAAAAAAAAAATATTTAGATTTTAACACTAAGGTAGGTACTCAGTTTGTTAACGTAGAACCGTTTTTAATGATGATTGATTGATAAAAGTGTTCACGTGATGAATTTAGAGTATGAATATATATATATATATATATATATATATATATATATATATATATATATATATATATATGTATACTATGGGTAGAAATTATATTTTAATATTTGACTTATATGACTTTCATTAAGAAGTTACCATCATTGATCGTTTATTTTGCCGCATTTTAAAGGAACTTTTTTTTTAAACTTAATTTTCTCCATTCTACGCGACATCGGCGAAGTAAATTGTGCCCAACTGGCACTCCTAGAAGCCCTAAACAAAAATTGAATTGAATTATACATAACTGTTATTATTTAACTTAAAATACGAGAGAAAACTAAAAAAGGTATAATATGTATCTAACTCATGCTTACTTTTAATTTTTACAAATTCAATAAGTACGTGATCGTTCTCGTTAAAAGTTAAAAAATAAGATTCTCGTTAATATATTTTATTCAGTTAAAAATTGCAAGACGAATGCTTTCAAAAATACTAATTTATTTATGTAACTTGTAGACTACTTAAATTAGATCAATACGAATTGTCACACAAGCGAAAGTTTTTACGAAAGTTACATAAGCATTAAACAAATATTAATATAAGTTTGAAAAAGAAACAGGCCAAGAATAGACCCTTGTGGAACCCCCATGTCTAATTATATTACAATGTACAGTAGGAAACATCGATTACAAAAGTATATTAAAGTTTATGTTATATAAAATTCGTTATTTTATGTAGTTATATAGTCATCCATAACGTATCTGTGATCAATGAATCATTTGAGCTATTGAATGCATTGAAAAATAAGCGCATTTCACGCACTAGTTATGTACAGACAATCGGGCTAATTGCATACAAAGAGGCTTGATGGACCAGCCGTGTATGAAAATGTGTAATGGAAGGAATATATATATACCTAATTCGTATGCATTCCATGTTGTGGCGATAATTTTTAAAATGTTTTTTGATAAGTTGCTACTTCATTAATTAGTAAATAAATAGCCTAATTAACAATTAGATTTTGAAAGTGGCTACTTTTGGAGGTATAGTTTGTGGATACATTGTTCCGTACTTTTATAAACTTCATCCAGTTTAGTCACAACAAAGAATTAATAAATTCAATATAATATAAATAATATCAATATGAATATAAATGTAAATAGCGTTGTATGTCCTTTTCATAAATTCATTCGTTCTTTTGTAGAATGTCTTCTTGTCGAAGCCGCCTAGTCTATTACTTTTGGAAGAACTTTGAAAACGAACTCTAATTTAAATTTTAAGTTTTATTACAAGCTATTCATTACAAAATGATGAAAATGGCATTGTAAGGATATTGCAATAATAGTGGCACATTATGCAGATGATTTAGAAGCGATCACAAGGTGACAATGAATCACTATGTTTTAACGCGGGAGTGGTATCACGGTTGTTACGTAAATATTGGAACAAGGGTCTATTGGGTAACTGACTAGAAGTACTACAATCTACATATTATGTTTTCTTCGCCAAAAGATACAATAAACTACTAAGTTACTTTAATTGTATTGTATCTATATAAAATATGTATATTACTACGAGCATTGCCCGCGGCTCCGCCCGCGTTTAGGTGACCAAAAACCAAATTCTTAGGTTTTACATATTAGTATATTCTTACATTGCAGCTATTGTATTTTTCTCAGAAATGAGACATTTTCCCGCGGTAAAAAGTATCCTATATGTTGACTCGGATAACCAGCTATCACCATATCAAATTTCATCAAAAACCCTCTAGTGGTTTTTCTGTGATGCGGTAACAGACAGACAGATAAAAATTCTAAAAACTATAGATTCGCCCTCTGTATCGACAATAATGTTTATTTCAATAAGATTTTCCAAAAAATATTTAATGTACAGATTCGGCTTAGTTACAATTTTATTATGATTGTCCGATGAAAAGATATTATGATATATCATAAAAAAGTAGTGCCAACTTTACAGGTCGACTCTAAAAGGATAGATCGTTGTCCGATTCCGCATATTAAAACCTCCATTGCTAAAAAGCACTTCATTGTTGTGGCTCCCCGTATTTACAATATTTTTAATAATAAATACAAATAATACTTTCTTAGATTTACGCGAATACTTGACATTTTAAATAAAATTATCTTGTCGGATTATTTCGCGGATTTATTTTGATTTTCGGTTCCCGAAGTTTCGAATGCTTTACAGCAATCATAGTCACGAGAGAGACTAAGGTTATAGATGTCTCAAACACATATTTGTTACAGACAGTGTCTACGCCGTCGGGAACCAAAAATCAAAATAAATCCACGAAATAATCCGAAAAGATAGTTTAATAACAACGGTTCTCATTGCTGCACTTTGCTATCAAAAAGATTTATTAGCCAAGGCATTGCATTTTATATTTATCTTAATGTCTTAATTTAAAATTCAAATCAATTTTAAATTATTTATTTTTTATAACTCTATTTATATCATATTACCTTTTTTTTAACGTTGGATCGCTTACGCATTCAACTACGACGCCCCAACGGCAGGTCTGCTAAAGCAGACCACAACAACCATGAGGTTGCTCCAAGGTCCACTCTGCTATCAGAGAAGTACCAGGAGCAACCCGCATTGTACACCGCCCACCGAAGTGGGTCACCTCCCTGTGCGTTTCTTGGCTTCGCGCCCGGCTGGATTGTCGGGTACTACTGAGCCCTCCCACCACGACAAGGTGAACGCACATAAACAACATATTTTTTTTATAACATTTTTGGAAACGTGGAAAAAATTCCATAAGATTTTTGTTTTCTTACTACTACTTTTCAACATCACAGTTAGATCTTGATTTAGTCATTATATTGACTAAGAAATCTATCTACCATATTGACATAATTTCACAAGCGTCACATATTATTACAAATAAGCCACCTTGACATTATAGTCAGACGTGATTTGTATCGCAAGATGTTATGAGATGATTTTTGAAAGGGTTTTAACTATGATTAATAGTTAATAAGAACTGTTTATATGTTAATTTATTTTTAAGATTGATTTTTATTTACTACACGAACGAAAAGCACAAACAGATCTATCCCACGAGAACCGTTCATTTTTCCGGTATAAAAAGTAACCTGTTGTTTGAACGGTAATATAAGGTATCAGCATGCCAAATACTACATTAGGTACGTAAGTTGTGTACTAAGCTGTGTAAGTTACTATAGTTTTTTAACTATCCCACGGGAACTCTTTAATTTTCCGGAATGAAAAGTATCTAAGATGTTGACCGGGGATATAAAGTACCACTATGCAAAATTTCATTTAAATCGGTCCAATAGATTCGGAGATTAGCCCGTACAAACAGACAAACAGACAGAAACAAAAAAATGGAAAAAAAACTGGATTTGTTCTATTTCTCTTCTTACACCCCCTTGACTCGGTTTTTAGCATTTTTTTCTATGTAAAGACATTCGGCCTCTACAGTTTTATTATAGTATAGACAAGCATTGTTTACGGCTCCGCCCGCGTTTAAACGGCCAAAAACTAAACTCTTACATACCTATACATATGTAAGTATATACTAATTTCAGCGTGCACCACAAAATTGAAAAAAAATGGCGCGATTGGCATTTGGCAATGACACTAAGGTTCCTCCTTTAATCTCTTATTGCTTAGCAATATTGTATCTTTTGTTTTAACAACAACAGTATAATAATAATAATATGTCAGGACATTAACACACAACGTAACGTACGCTACGAGGCTTATTCTATGGATACCAGATAGTTGTTACATTATACATATATAACTTTAAAACATATTATAAATATGACTGGAGTACAAACGTTGGTGCTCATCACACAAATAAATGCACCCAGCGGGACTCGAACCTGCGACCGCTGGCGCAGCAAGTAGGGTCACTACAAGCTAAGCCAAACGGGTCGTAAAATGTCGTAGTATGTACATACTATGGTATATATAGAGGAAAAGTTTGTTTGTTTTTGGAACGCAGTTCCTTTACAGCACGTTATAATCGCTACACTTTGCGAATCAGAGTTATTATTACTTATATACATTTTTATATTTCACCCCAAAGTACCTATGTATTTCAGTTAAAAGACCGACTCAACGAGTGCAAAGTTAAAATATAAAAACACCTATTAATGAGCACAGCACTAAAAGTAAAAAAAAATCCCAAGTCCGCTGTCATAGTACGAGTTTGTAATTAAGAACAATGTTAGAGTGTATAATTTTTGCATGTTTATCTTTGAATACCATATATAATTTTTCATATATTGTTCGTACGTTTTGATATGTTATTCCGTATGTATTTTGATTAGGTAGAGTCCAGCTCTATAGTAAAATGTTAGGAAGTGGTTAAGAGCACTGGCGACAAAATATGACTCTGAAAAGATGAAATAACCAAATAGTTATGCTACATTATAACATATATACAGGCAATCTAACGATGGTCTTGGCCACCAGTCTCGTTTTGAATATACACATGCATTTTACTAAGTTATATAATGTCTTTGTTATAAGACCTGCAGATAAAATAATTGCGAAATGAAGACAAGGTGACAAGTTGCTTGAATATTTCATATAAAATAGGTACTGTATGCGAGTAAGAGGACTTCTACTGGCAGATGGTTTCTATTGAAATACCATTGGAAAAGGATATCTGAGGTGCAAACCCTTGGTGCAAGAACCTTGGTTTTCGAAGAGAGCGCTTTACCAATGAGCTACCACTGACTTTTTTTTATCTATACATATAATAAAATTCGCATTGAGTCGAATCTGTACATTAAATATTTTTTGGGATATCTTATTGAAATAGTCATTGTTATCGATACAGGGTATAAATAGTATTATAATATGATCTGTGTCTATACCAAAAGTT